GAGGTCAGAGGTCGGAGGTCGGAGGTCGGAGGGCATCTTACCATTCTCCAGCATGAAAGGCTGAGTCAGCGGGGGGATGGTCCAGAAGTCATCGCCCTCCAGGCTGCGCAGGCACCGCACCGGGACGGTGGCCGACTGGCCAAAGTCGACGAACAAGACCACAGCCCAGGCATCCACCCGGTCCACCACCCAGCACCTGCCAGAGGGAGGGAGGGAGGAACGGAGGGCTGCCCCCCCTGGCGGCAGGCAGAGTGGTCCTTCACCAAGAGGCTAACGGAGTGGAGTTTCCTCCGTGCTCCCCGGCCTCAGGCAGAGACGTGACCACAGTCACAGACCTCGGGAGAGGAAGCAGCAGGAAAGAAACCGGCCGAAACCGATCTGGCTCAGTGGATAGAGCGTAGGCCTAAGGACTGAAAGGTCCCAGGTTCAATTCCGGTCAAGGACATGTACCTTGGTTGAGAGCACATCCCCAGTAGGGGGTGTGCAGGAGGCAGCTGATCGATGTTTCTAGCTCTCTATCCCTCTCCCTTCCTCTCTGTAAAAAAATTAATAAAATATATATTTTTTAAAAAGGAAGGAAGAGCCAAAACCAGTTTGGCTCAGTGGATAGAGTGTAGGCCTGCAGACTGAAGGGTCCCGGGTTCGATTCCGGTCAAGGGCATGTACCTTGACTGCGGGCACATCCCCAGTAGGGGGTGTGCAAGAGGCAGCTGATCGATGATTCTCTCTCATCCATGTTTCTCTCTATCCCTCTCTCTTCCTCTGTAAAAAAATAATAAAATATATTTTTTTTAAAAAAGAAGAAGAAGAAAACGGAGTCCCAAGCGGGGAGACAGGAAGAAGTGGTTTTCCGCCGCCTCCCTTATGCCCTCCCCCCTTGCACCGCCCCCTGCCGGCACAGACCTGTTCCAGGCCGGCCCGGCCGCGCCCAGCTGGTGCTGGGCCAGACAGCGGGCCCCGCGCCGCACCGCCGCCTCCTGCAGGAAGGGCTGCCGCTCCTCCGCGGCGGCCAGCGCGCCGAACAGCGCCTGCATGTCCCGGTGCAGCGTCTGCGGGCACCGAGCTCGGCTCACCGCCCGCCTCACACCCACGTCCGTCCCGCAGGTGTGACTGGCTGTGCCCGCACCGGACCTGCCCCCGGGCACCAAGGCCCGAGGCGGGAGCCAGGAAGACACGGAACCGGGGATGGGGACGCACCGTCCGGATTCCCCCGCTGACCGGCCCATCCCCACGCCCGGCCAGGACGGCCCTGCGAGAGGCCCCAGCCCCCGGGGCCCCACAAGCCGTACCTCTGTGATGTGCATGGCCCAGAAGAACGGGGTCCGGGGGACGGTGCTGGTCACCAGCAGCCCCGCGTCCCCGCCCGCACGGCAGAGGGCGGCCAGCCAGCTCAGGCCGCCGAAGCATTCCCTCAGGAGCTGCGCCAGGAAGGTGCCTCTGGGGGAGAGGGCGGGGGGAGCGAGGTGGCCTCCTGGTCCCGGAGGATGCTGGGGGGCCAGGCAGGACGGTCCCCTGGGTCAGGCCCACCCCCTCCAGGGAGGGGATGAGAGCATAACGCAGAACAAGGGCAGCACTGGGGGGAGGGGGCTTGGGGGGGGGGGGAAGGTCCTGGAGAAAAACACACACACATACACACACCCCGGCTTCCACAGGCAGAGGGGCCAGAGCCGCCCCTGGGCCGACGTGGCCTGAAGCAAGTGCGGACCGTCCAAACCAGGACACGACTCCAACCCCCAAGCCGCCCCCTCCCGTGTCCAGTTCACACCCAACTCCAGCCGCCCGCCCCCCCAACTTTATCACTAAGGCTCCCGTGTCAGCAGGCAAGCCTGCTGCTGGGGACACACACACACCACTCAGCCCACAGCCCCTGCCCGTCCGGGGCGGTCCTGGCCCCTCTGACACTACGCATGGTGTCCCCTGTCCGAGCAGAGGGTGTGGTGGCCATGATGGCCGCAGGGGACCAGGGCCACAGGCCTTCACAGACTGTCTCAGCCCCTGTGGGCCCGGTGCGGGAGCCCCGAGCCCATCCTGCCCCGCGGGGACCACCCCACCCACCCTCCAGGGACGGAGTGATGTCTGTGGGCGCCTCGTGCTGGGGGGGGGGGGCTGCCCCCCTCCACTCACCTCATCTCCATGGGGACTGCAAATAAGGGCGTCCTCGGTCTCGCTGGCTCTCGGGGGGCACCGGGAGCTTTCAGGGTGATCTGTAGGTAAGCTGGAAAGCAGGGGACTGAGTCTTGGAGGCACCAGAGCTGCCCCTGCCCCCCAAGATGCCCTGGCCCCGGGCTCCACCCTCCGAGGCAGACAGGATGGGCCACGTGGACGCTAGGTCTCCAGCAGGCGGAGAGGGTGTGCTGCCTGATGATCCTCCATCAGGAAAGCACCCGGAGGAGTGAACAGGGTATTTCCCCCACGGAGAGGCCCGCGGGGGGCAGAGTGGAGGGGAGGCTGGGAGAATCGAGTCAGGAGTTGGGAAGACCCGTCCTGGGGGGTGGGGATCTCACCGGTGATTCTGACAAATCCTCCACCGGACGCCCGCTCCAACACCTGGGGAGGAGAGGACGGCGCTGTCAGGCCCGGAGCGGCCATTCACTGGTTTGTATGTGGAGTCGCTACACATGGACCCGGAGGCCGTGTTCCCGCCCCTGCACGCCACCGCTGCCACTGCATTCTGAGACCCCCTCCCACTCTTTCCCGCTTGGATCCCGAGGGAACCAGGAAAAGGTGTTCAGAAACAAGGGGGGTTGGGTCTCAAAAGCACTGGTGGCCCAGAAAGAAGCACACTACAGACTGATTCATATGCCTTTCAGCATAACGATTATTGCTTGTCTCATTTTTGATTCTTATAAGTATATTTCCAGTAGGACATGATCTCACTCATCCAGGGGAAATGGTGAACAACACAGACTGAGGAACAAGAACAGACCCAGAGATAAGAAGCCATGGGTCTGACTGTTGGACCTCAGAGGAAGGGTGGGGATAAAAGGGAGAAATCAACCAAAGGACTTATGTGCACACATATGAGCCTAACCAGTGGTCGAGGACAATAGGGGGGTGGGTTATGAGTGGGGAGGGGTGGGGGGTTGGTATGGCGGATTGGGGACAAATACGTGGTACCTTAATCAATAAAGACATTGAAGGAGGAGGAGGAGGAGGAGGAGGAGGAAGAGGAGGAGAAGGAGGAGGAGGAGGAGGAGGAGGAGGAGGAGGAGGAGGAGGAGGAGGAGGAGGGGAAGAAGAAGGAGAAGGAGAAGGAGAAGGAGAAGGAGAAGGAGAAGAAGAGAAGAAGAAGAAGAAGAAGAAGAAGAAGAAGAAGAAGAAGAAGAAGAAGAAAGAAGAAGAAGAAGAAGAAGAAGAAGAAGAAGAAGAAGAAGAAACAGGGGAGAAGGGGAAGAGGCAGGGCTGCAGGGGTGCTCCAGCAGGACTCACAGTCCCAAAGGCCAAGCTGCGGAGCCTGGGGGGTCCTGGCTGGACCTTCTTGGGGGGTGGGGGAGTAGAAGAGGTGGGAATGGTTACCCTGAAAGCCGGGTTACTCGAAGACAGAAATGTCTGGGTGCCCTGCGCCTCACTACAACCCTGCACCCCCAACCCCCACTGGGTCCCCTCTCCACTGACCTCGCCTGGAAAACGCTCACCCCTGGTTCAAGCCATGTCTCTGCCCGCCCCGCTGCTCCCCTGCTCTGGCCATGGCCCCTACAGCCGGCACCGGGGGCCCGTTCTCCCGCGGACATGCATTGCTGTCCCACAGTGACCCCTGGTAAGCTGCTTTTCCTCCCCGCCAAATGGACGGCTTCACGCCTCTGACCCCCCCCCCCCACTCCCCACCCCACCCAGGAGCCTGCCTCTTTATCCGGTGAAAACTGGAAGCCGTGACGGGGTCCCTCCCCTTCCCCCATGCAAACCCCTACCCCGCCCTCTGCCACCCCGGCCACAGGCGCCTGCTCGAACTCTCTGGGACTCCCACCCTCCCGCCTTCCCCAGGGCAGCAGCCCTGAGGGCTGCCCGCTTCCTCCCCCACGGCCCTCCCGCCGTGAGGATGTCTCCCCGCAGGGACATGCCTGTGATCCACGTGTGGGCCCTGCCTTGACCCCATAGCCCTCTCGCTGCCAGCGCTCTCTGCCCCGTCACCGCCGTGCTGTCTGAGTCCCGTCTGCTTCCCCCCACCTTTCCCTCAGCACCTCCCAATCAGGCTGCCTCCGAACGTCTCGCACAGGGTCAGCCTGACCTGCCAGCCACCGAGTCCTCCTGCTCTCCGCTCTGAACTCACCGGCTGTGTTCCACCCACGCCCTCTTTCGAGAAACACTGCTCCTCTCGCCTTCCCTGACATTGCACACATCCAGTCTCCCTTACCTTTCCCTGGCTGGCCTTCTAATATATATGTCTCTTTTTAAAAATACACTTTATTGATTTTTTTACAGAGAGGAAGAGAGAGGGATAGAGAGCTAGAAACATCGATGAGAGAGAAACATTGATCAGCTGCCTCTTGCACACCCCCTACTGAGGATGTGCCCACAACCAAGGTACATGCCCTTGACGGAATCGAACCCGGGACCTTTCAGTCCACAGGCTAACGCTCTATCCACTGAGCCAAACCAGTTTTGGCTAATATATATATATATATATATATATATATATATACACACACACACACACACACACACACACACACATCTTTTTATTTCAGAGAGGAAGGGAGAGGGAGAGAGAGCTAGAAACATCGATGATGAGAGAGAATTATTGACAGGCTGCCTCCTGCACACCCTACACTGGGGATCGAGCCCACAACCCGGGCGTATGTCCTGACCGGGAATTGAACTGTGACCTCCTGGTTTATAGGTCGACGCTCGGCCACTGAGCCACGCTGGCCGGGCTGAGTGGCTGGCCCTGGAAAGGAGCTGAGCCAGTCAATGCCGGCCAACCCCAGAACTGTGCCTCTCTCCCATCTTCCTTCTCTCCAAGGTCCTCCCCAGCTCTGCGATTTTAAGAATCCACAGTATAACACAGTCAGACCTCCCGCCTTCATCGCTGTCTGGAATTCAACTGAAATATAGAGATGTCTACTCGACGGGACAACTAAGAGGAACACGCACTCAGCATGTCTGACCAGACCCGCACAGCCACTTCGCCCAGCTCTCTCAGCTTCACAAACTACCCAGCGGCTCAGGCCACGTCCCCTCTCTCCCTGGCTCCCCACATCAACCTCAGCAGCAAGCCAGGCCATCTCTCCTCCCAAACACACCAGAACCCACGAACTCCCCCCTTCGCCACAATACAAGCTACTGCCACCTCGTCCCAGGACCACAGCAGCCATGTCCACAGAGTCCCTGCTGCCACCCGGCCCCATAACCCAGTCGCCACCCAGCAGGTCTGATCTCTTACAAACAAAAACAGTTCACATCCCCCCCCCCCCCCCAGTTCAATCCTTCCAACATCTCCCCACCGTGCCTAAACATAAAATCCAGACTCTTTGGCTCATCGAGGATGCCAGGACATGGCCCTCCTTCCCATGGGGCTCCCATCTGCCCACTGCCCCTTCTCCCATCACAGCACACCTTGGGGCATTTGTGGGTCCTGCAGCTTGAAATTCAATGTTTGCAGGATGGGCCCTGATTTGTCCATTCAGATCTCAGGTGAGACGTCACTTCCTCACCAAGAGGCTTCCCTAAAAACCATCTAAAGAAGTGAGCCCTCTCAAAAAAAATAAAAAGCGGTCCCCCTCACATCCATCACATCAGCGTATTTTAATTAGTACGGAGGGCTGGCGTTTTCTTATTTATTGGATATTGTAGGTCTCTTCCCACTGGAACATAAATATCATGAGAATAAGAATCACATTTGTCTTCTGACAATTACACAGAGGTAGCCCGGGGCCTAGCACGCTCCCCAGTGCCCATCAAGCTCTCGGTAAACAGATGTTGGATGGATGGGGTGGACGGCTGGATTAATGGAAGGGAAGAGAAGGAAAGGGAAGAAGATGAGGAAGGAGACGTTAGTAACTTCTGGAGCAAGTTGTTCACTCTCTCAGCTTTGGCTTCCTCTTCTGTTCCATGAATCACATCGGCACTGAGGTGAAGGTTTACTTGTCCAGGACACGACAGGAAGGAGGTGCTGAATACAGAGAAGCGGGATGAGAGGGTGGTCACAGGGGCAGGGCTTCACTCCTGCTTCCAGGACTGACAGGGCTCCTTCGCTCTGGGCTAGTGCCTCCTCCTCACCTGCAGGAGCAGCACCTGCTGCTGTGATTAATGAGCTCCCACGGCCACGTGGTTAGAAAGAGGCCTGCAGAGTGAGCCCTCCACAGGGGCTGGCTCCCTGTCGGCGAAGGAGACCAGTCAGAGCTGCACGTGAGACCTCCTGCCCCACCTGTGCCCCTGCAGCAAAACAAGGTGACCCTGCAAACAACCGCTCTCCAGCCAAGCACCGTGACTTTTTATTTAAACATATTTTATTGATTTTCCACAGAGAGGAAGGGAGAGAGATAGAGAGCTAGAAACATCGATGAGAGAGAAACATCGACCAGCTGCCTCTTACACACCCCCTATCAGGGATGTGCTCGCAACCAACATACATGCCCCTGACCGGAATCGAACCTGGGACCTTTCAGTCCACAGACCGACGCTCTACCGCTGAGCCAAACCGGTTTCGGCAGCACGGTGACTTTTTATTTAAAGCGAGAGGCCCGCTGCACGAAATTCATGCACAGGGGGAGGGGTGTCCCTCAGCTCAGCCTGCACCCTCTCAATCTGGGACATCCCTCTCACAATCCAGGACTGCTGGCTCCCAACTGCTCACTTGCCTGCCTACCTGATTGCCCCTAACCACTTCTGCCTGTCAGCCTGATCACCCCCAACCACTCCCCTGCCAGCCTGATCAATGCCTAACTGCTCCCTGCCGGCCCGATTGCCCCTAATTGTCCTCCCCTGCAGGCCTGATTGCCCCTAACTGCCCTGCCCTGCCAGCCTGATCACCCCTAACTGCCCTCTCCTGTGGGCCTGGTCCCCTCCAACTGCCCTCTCCTGCTGGCCTGGTCTCCCTCAACTGCCCTCCCCTGCAGCCTGGTCCCCCATAACTGTCCTCCCCTGAAGGCCTGGTCCCCCTCAACTGCCCTCTTCTGCTGGCCTGATCGCCCATTACTGCCGTCCCCTACTGGCCTGATCGCTCACAATTGCCCTCCCCTGCTGGCCATCTTGTGGCAGCTATCTTTGACCACATAGGGGCAGCCATTTTATGTGTTGGAGTGACGGTCAATTTGCACATCACCTCTTTATTAGATAGGATCTCTCAAGACAGTCCCGAATACCAATCCCCAGAACCAATTCTCAGCAGCAGCTTCAAGCTAAACATTATCACCAACATGTAAGCATTTTAAACCACTTCTGTCTCGTTATCCCCTAATGATTTAAGAGATAAATATAACAAGCCTTTTGTGACAGTTTGTGAGATTACGTTTCAGAGGAAAAGATGTCATTACCATCCAGCCACCCAAAAACAAGCCTCAAATGTCAAGATGTGTGTGTGACAAAGGCGGCCACCTGGGCGCTGCAGAGGTCAGGGCCGCGACCCCATCTCTGCCCAGTCAGACGATCTAAAGGAGCTCTCTTGTTGCCATAAGCACAGGAACCCGCATGCCCAGACCCACCGCCAGCTATGAATGGCTCTCTGCTTTGTTCTGGGCACTGCCACCAGCTGGTCAAGAGTCCTAAGAGGCAGCAGACTCCAGAGCGAGGCTGGCGAGCCTGAGCAGTGGGGGAGAAGGCAGCGGGCACACAAAGGTCAGTCGCCCGAAAGCACTGGAGTGGATGGGGGTCCATTGGTTCCCCCGACACGAGGGGTGGAGAATGATTGGCCTTCGGAACCCATGGCCCGCCTCCCTCCCGCCCCCATTAGGCCCGAAAACTCTTTTGGTCTGGCACTGCCAAGGCATTAGGAGTGAGTTAATTAAGTGTGTGACCAAATACAGCAGGCTCATGTTAAAGCGGATCGTTCTGTATGGCCCGCGCGCGATGTTACAAATATCCAAATGGCCCTTGGTGGGGGAAAAGGTTCCCCACCCCTGCCCTACACACACCAGGGAGAAGCTCCCGGCCCACCGCTCAGCAGGGGTGCAGGCCTCACGTCTAGCTCGGAACAGCAGGAGCCTCCCTGCCCGCAGCCCCTGGGTCTGCTCACGGCCACCCCCGGACTGCGGCTGGTCCCCGGGCCACATGCCCTGAAGGCCTCTGACCCTACCCAGGAGCTGCCCGCGGGCCGCCCGCTGGGCGAGTCTTGGTGGAGATGTGACATGTACCGTGTTAACCCCCACAGCCTCCCTCTCCTCCAGGTCACGCACGTTGTGCCTCCCGTACGTGCCAGGCACCGAGTGCCAAAGGCGAATGACGCAGACCCTGTCCTCAGGAAGCCCACATGCTGTTTGTAAACCGTGTGCGTTCCAAACACTGCCCTCAGGCGCTCACACTCTGATGGGGGTGGCGGACAGGAAGCACGCACACAGGCATGTCACCCCAGGGCCACTGGAGCCACAAGACACAGGCAAGGAGCGGGGAGAAAAAGGGTGGGATGGGAGGTGGGGGTGACCGCTCAATGGGACCTGAATGAAGGGACAAAGCACGCCCCGTGGATACCTGGGAAAGAGCCTTGGGGCTGAAGACAGAAGGTCCAAGGCCCGGGCGGGCGTGTGCGGGGCGTGTGCGGGGCGTGCTGGCCGGACAGCGCTGGGCGGGCGTGACAACCCACTTTCATTCTTGTCTCGGGGCACCTGGGACAGACCTTCCTGCTCCCAGCTGATCCCTGGAAGCTATTCTACACGGTCCCTTTAACACTCAAACCTCGGTGAAGGGACGGACAGACAGGGGCACGTCCATGCCACAGAATACCACTGAGCGATGAAAAGAGAATCGCTGACGGTGCAGCCGCACGGGTGAATCTCAGTCACATTCTGCTGAGTGGGAGAAGCCAGACACAACGATGCGCAGACAGCACAATGCTGTGGCCACTAAACTCTGGATAACCCTCGCCTGCAGTGACAGGTCGGCGTTGCCAGGGACGTGGAGGGGGGGGGGGGGGGCTGCTGATGGGGAAACACAGGAGAACCTGGTGGGTGGAGCGACGGCCAATTTGCACATCACCTCTTCATTAGATAGGATCTCTTAAGACAGTTCCAAGTACCAATCCTGAGAACCAGTTCTCAGCATCGGCTTCAAACTAAACATTATCATCAATATGTAAGCATTTTAAACCACTTCTGTCTCATTATTACCGTATTTTTCGGACCATAAGACGCACTTTTTCCCCCCCAGAAGTGGGGGGGAAAAAGTCCCTGCGTCTTATGGTCCAAATATAGCCTACACATATACTTTAAAAAAAAAGTTTTTTTACTTGCCCGGCTCTGTGTGGTCTCTGTGTGCTTGCCCGGCTCTAAAATGGTTCTAAATGCTGCTGTTTACTTTACAGGGTTGATTACATGTGTTTATGACTGTGATGTTGGGTTTTAATGCACATAAAATATTTTAGGACACTGTTTCAGAATCTTTTTTTCTTCATTTCCCTTCTCTAGAAACTGGTGCGTCTTATGGTCCGGAGCGCCTTATGGTCCGAAAAATACGGTATTCCCTAATGATTTACAATATAGAAAGTGTTCTATATTGGATTGTGGTCGTGATGATGTGGCTTCATACTGTAAACCCTGAGGACTAAGAAAGATTCCTGGTGGCCACTTGGTTTAAAAAAAAAACAAACAAAAAAACGAAACAGAGTCTAGCCGCCGCCATCTCTGCACAGAGGCCTCTCATGCAAACAGCACCTGGCGGAGAAGGCTCTGAGCTGACCTGCCAGTCTCCACTGAAGGGCCTGCTGCATGGCGCTCCTGACATCTGAGCCCTTCAAAGGCCTTGGAGTCCTATTCCAGCCAACAGGACTGAGGCTTTCCTGGCGGCCCACAGACTAAAGGGTCTCAGGTTCGATTACAGTCAAGGGCACGTACCTCACTCGGTTGCAGGCTTGAGTCCCAGCCCCCCTCTCTCACATTGATGTTTCTCTCCCACCCCACCTCCGCCTCCCTCCCACTCTCTCTGTCAAAATCAATGAGAAAAAACATCCCCAGGTACAGTATTAACAACAACAACAAGTCCCCCTAATTTCATCCACAGCAAAACCAGACGAAGGAGGAGGTCTGCCGCCCCCGATGAGGAAGCACAGGCCACCGGCACAGAGAGCCTGGACCGCCTACCTGCGGCTCCTGGGGCCTCGGGGCCGGGTCGGGGGGCCTCCTGGGGGCGCTTGTGTTCGAATTCACATGCAGCCTCCGGTTGTGGAAGAGCGTCCCGTCCAGCTCCTGGATGGCCAGCGCCACTCTCTGCACGGAGCCCAGGTCCGCAAACGCGAAGCTGCGGGGAAGCACGCGGGCCGGCTCTGAGCACACACGTCTCAGGTCAGAGCTGCAGGAGGCAGCCAGGCCCGAACGCAGGAGCTCTCCTCCCCTCCCGGCCAGAGGGGGGCGCTGCACACACACCAACAAGTCACTGAGGCCCAGGCTGGGGATCAGAAGACGTGTGTGAGCCTGGACTCTGCCGCTACACCCACGTTTGGCTTTGGGTTTCTTTCCTAGTACTCCCCCCAAAGGCTCAACGCACTCTCACTGCCCTGGAAATCAGAAAGGGGGAATATGAGCAGGTCCGGTTTCCAGGGACAACCAAGGCTAAGGACAGTTTGGTCATTTAAGCTCCAGTCATAAAAGAGAGCAAGGATACTTCCAAAAATAAACACAGATCTCCGGGCTCCTCAACCAAGGTGGGGTGGGCAAGACAAGTCCCCGGGGCCCCGACACGTCCCTAACTGACCCCAGACTCGAGGGCACAGCGGCGAGCGTGCCATGTCCGGGCCTCAGCAGAAGGGACTGGGAGGAAAGGAGCCGCTTCCCAAAGCAGAGGAAGTGCGGTCCTTACCATTTGCAGCCGCTCCGGACCCTGTGGACATGCAGAGGGTGGAAGTCCTTCAGAAGGTGCCGAATTTCCTCCTGCTCGGCGGGGTTGGAAAGACAGAGAGACCCAGAGACAGAGCTTACAACTCGTTCCCAGGGTTTCAGACCCCCAACCGGCTCCTCTGTCACCAATGAAACACATACTTCCTGGAAAGTCTATAATGGCCGAAACTGGTTTGGTTCAGTGGATAGAGAGTCGGACTGTGGACTGGAAGGTCCCAGGTTCGATTCCGGTCAAGGGCATGTATTATACCTTGGTTGTGGGCACATCCCCGGTGGGGGGGGTGCAGGAGGCAGCTGATCGATGTTTCTCTCTCACTGATGTTTTTAACTCTCTATCCCTCTCTCTTCCTCTCTGTAAAAAATCAATAGATATATTTTTTATATATATCAATAATATATATATTATTGATTTTTTACAGAGAGGAAGAGAGAAGGTAGAGAGCTAGAAATATCGATGAGAGAGAAACATCGATCAGCTGCCTCCTGCACACCCCCCACCGGGGATGTGCCCACAACCAAAGTACATGCCCTTGACCGGAATAGAACTTGGAACCCCTCAGTCCACAATCCGACGATCTATCCACTGAGCCAAACCAGTCAGGACAAGATGTTTTTTAAAAAGGAAAAGAAATAAAAGTCTGTTTTGTGCTGTGTGAGCAGGTTTGGTGCTGAGGGATGTAAATGCAGAGGCGAGAAAGACACGTCCTGCCTCCGAATGAAGCTCCTCAGCCCTGAGGGGCTGCAGACAGGACCGTCCAGGGAACAGACCCTGGGCTGAGCAAAGTCTGAGCAGGAGAGGTCAGGACAGGGGCAGGGGAGGCAGCTGCAGAGGGAGAGGACCTTTGTCTTGGTCAGCCTCCTCTCAAGCTGCTCACATCCCTTCTTTGCAAGTCTCCCTGCCACCTTTCCTCACTGTAGCCTGCCCTCCGGTCACCTTCCCCTGCTCTCACCTCTTCCTCCCCTGCCCTCAGGCTGCCTCCCTTCCCAGAGGCTACTCCTTCCACAGGGCCAGCTAGGCCCTCAGTGCACACACACACCACCCCCTCCCTGAGGGCCTTCTGAGCTACACCCTGCTTTTCCTCTTCTCTCCCACTCCTGTAGAAAGACCAGCTCCTCCTGCCGCCGTTTCCTCTGCCCACTCCCTCCTAACTGCCTGCGATCTGGCTCCTGCCCTACTAAAAACGCTTTCTTCTTTCTTTTCTTCCTCTCTCTCTCTCTCTCTCTCTCTCTCTCTCTCTCTCTCTCTCTCTCTCTCTCTCTCTCTTTCCTTCTTGCTTTCTTGCTTTCTTGCTTGCTTTCTTTCTTGCTTCTTGCTTCTTGCTTTCTTGCTTTCTGCATTTTGTTAGTCCTCACCATGAGGGAGTGGAAAGGAGGGAGGGAAGGGCAGAGGGCAGACGGGAGGGAGGGTACATCTACGTGAGAGAACCACATGGATAGCTGCCTCCCGCACACCGGGCAGCGGATCGAACCTGCAGCCCTGGACCGAGGACCGAATCCAGGACGAAATGCTTTCCTTAAGGTCTCAGCTCTCTCCCACCACCCGCCCCACTGGGAAGCGTCCGCCTCTCCTCACAGCCCCTTCCTGCCCCTCCCTGGGAAATTCCACAACCATGATAAAAACCTTTTTCCCCCCTAGAAAGTTCTATTTTTTTGGGGGGGGGGGAGGAGTGTGACATTTATACAATCTTCTTTTAAAAGCAGCTTTTTACCAATCTAAAGTCACTTTGTTGGGTGAGGACATTAGACATACATTATGTATGACTCATTTTCCCCAGTCTTCGTGTTTATATTACATCTAAATTCAAATTTTCTAATTCGCTTTTACTTTTAAATATTTAATGTTTATTACACATGAATCTACAAGAAGCTGAGCAACAGGCCAATTTGTCAGTACAAGCAATACATGCTTAGCATTTTCCAATTACAAAGCTCTTTCACCAACCTTGTTCCATTTGATCCTTAAAATCACCCTGTCGAGTACACACCCTATTGTCCTCATTCTCAGAAGCATAATAAAATAAGGATCAGAGAGCCTAAGGGACTTCCCTAAGACTACACAGACAATTTAGAGTCGGGATTTGAACCCAGCGATTCTAACTTCACATCCTACATTCTTTTCATTCTCTGCCAAACCTCGGCTGTCTTCTTCTTAGGTTTTACCATTATGAACGTAAAAGAGGGAACGACTTCATGTTTTTTGTATCTCCTATAGCAGGTGTCAGGAAACCACTGCCTCAAGCCAATTCCAACCTTTTTATCAATAAAGTTTTATTGGAACACAACCACACACACACACACACACACACACACACACACACACGGTCGTTTATTTATTGTCTAGGCTGCTTTCTGGCTACTATCCCAGAAATATCGAGTATTTGCGACTGAGGCGCATGATCTGCAAAGCATAAAATATTCACCGTCTGACCCTCTGCAATGGAGAAAGTCCGCCAGCCCTGTGCCCTCGCAGTGCTGGCTGCCAGTGAGGCCCTGCTGGACGGCTCCTTTGCTTTGGGGTTGGGATTAGAGCATCAATATCTTTTAAAAGCTCCCCCGGTGGTTTTAATGGGCAGCCAAGGTCAGAAATGACTGTTCAATGATATCGAGCAGATTCAGAAGTACCGCTTTCCAGAAAACGTGCTTGAGGGTGAGAGGAGAGGGAAACCACCACCACCACCACACATACGCAAATTCAAAAGCAAAATACAAAACCCTGCCAACACCTTTCTACCCACGGGCCTTCACCCCACGCTCTCAGGGGGCCAGCCCCCCAGCAAACACTGCTCCTGTGAGCAGCTGTCGCTCAGGAGTCCTAACATCTGAAGACATGCCCCCTGTATGGTAGTTACCCCCCTTAGCCATGGGATGTACATTCCCAGATCCCCAGTGGGTGTCTGGAACTGCAGACAGTACTGAACCCTACATATACTGTTTTTTTTTTCCTACACATACAACCTATCTAATAAAAGAGTAATATGCAAATGGACTGTCACTCCAACACAAGATGGCTGCCCCCATGTGGACACAAGATGGCCACCACAAGATGGCCAGTAGGGGAAGGCAGTTGGGAGGACCAGGCTGGCAGAGGAGAGAAGTTGGGGGTGACTGGACCTGCAGGAAATGGCAGCTAGGGGGGACCCAGGCCTGCAGGGGAAAGCAGTTGGGGGGGGGAGGGAACCAGGCCTGCAGGGGAGGGCAGTAGGGGGGGGACCAGGCCTGCAGGGGAGAGCAGTTGGGAGGAACCAGGCCTGCAGGGGAGGGCAGTTTGGGGGAACCCAGGCCTGCAGGGAGGGCAGTTGGGGGGACCAGACCAGTTTGGGGTGATGAGGCTGGCAGGGGAGGGCAGTTAGGGGCAATCAGGTTGGCAGGAGAATAGTTAGGCATCAATCAGGCTGGCAGGGGAGTGGTTAGGGGATAATCAGGTTGGCAGGCAGAAGTGGTTCGGGGCAACCAGGAAGGCAGGCAGGCGAGCAGTTGGGAGCCAGCAGTCCTGGATTATGAGAGAGTTGTCTGATTGGAGAGGATGCAGACTTGGCTGAGGGACACCCCACCCACTGTGCATGAATTTTGTGCACTGAGCCTCTAGTATCTATAGTAAAATCTAATCTATAACTAAGCGCAATAAGAGATTAACATATAGCCCAGCTGGCATGCCTGAATGGTTGAGCGCCTACCTAGGAACCAGGAGGTCACGGTTTGATTCCCAGCCAGGGCGCGTACCCGGGTTGTGGGCTTGATCCCCAGTAGGGGACATGCAGGAGGCAGCCAATCAATGATTCTCTCTCATCATTGATGTTTCTATCTCTCTCTCTCCCTCTCCCTTCCTCTCTGAAATCAATAAAAATATTTTTAAAAGATTAACACATATAATAGAACAATTTTAACAATATACTGTAATAAAAGACATACAAATGATCAATAAGCACATGAGCAGATGCTCATTAGTTCAGGAAATCAAAACCACAATGAGATACCACCTCACAGCCCCTAGATGGCTACAGTAAAAAAGAGGTTTTGGCAAGAAAGTGGAGAAATTAGAATAATCACACATTGCGCATGCCACCGTAAAAATGGAACAACTGTTTTGGAAAACAGTTTGGTAGGTCCTCAAAAAGTTAGCCATAGAGCTATCATGTAACCCAGGCATTCCACTCCTAGGGATATACCCAAGAGAACTGAAACATGTTCACACAAAAGCTTGTGCACCCATGTTCAGAGCTGCATTGTGGGCAACAACCAAAAAGTAGAAACCACCCAAATGCCATTGAATGATGAATTGATAAACAAACTGTGGTCTATCCATGTAATGAAGTATCATCCTATATGATAAAGAGCTAATACGCAAATGGTCGCCACACCCTCGAGCAGGGGCTGGGGGACCTGAGGCCACACCCCCCACCCAGCAGGGCTTGACGGGGGACCTGAGGCTGCATGCCCCCCCCACCCTGTGGGGCTCAATGGGGGTGGGGCCAGCCAGGTCTGGGTCTCCCACAATTTCAAGGTGCGGGTGGGTGGGCAGGGACTTGGCTCTGGCTCCTGTGGCATGCCCCAGACGGACAGGAGGAAGATTTTCATATGCATTTTACTAATTTTCTTTCATCTCTGACACTTCTATTACAGAGAAAGGGCAAATAGCAATACTAAATTATTTCCTCTAATGCACATGTGTCAAACACAAGGCCCGCGGGCCAAATCCGTCCCGCCAGGCCTTGCAATGTGGCCCGCACCACGCTGTCATCACTGCACTCCGCTGCGTTTCCATCACAATGACAGTTTATGACTGTTCAGTAAACCATTCGGCCCGCGATTTAGGCTGGATTTTAGATTTTGGCCTCTTCTCTGATTGAGTTCGACACCCCTAAATGAATCCCCTTTTAACGTGCAGGAATTTTGTGCACCGGGCCACCAGTTCAGTCATTAAAAAGGAGTGAAGGGCCGAGATGTGCTATTGCGTGGACGAACCCAGGAAACGTGCTAAGTTGAAGGAAAACAAAATGCCACACGTTGTATGATTTCCTTTCTATGGCGTGTCCAGAACAGGCAAATCCACAGAGACAGAAAGTAGATGCATGGTTTTCAAAGGGACTGGGAGGAAGGGGGCGGGAGGAGGGACTGCTGACGGGTATGGGGTTTATTTTGGGGATAATGAAAACGTTCTTGAATTCAGAAGTTTGCACAACCTGGTGCCTATACTAACAGCCACTGAGTTTTATGGTGCGCGATTTCTACCTCAATAAACAATGTGAATGTCATGAAAGAAGATGCTGGCTACTGCTACTGCTCTGAGTCATAAAATCAGCCTTCATCTCTGACCCACAACTAGCATCTTCTACGCCCAGCCGTGAAACTGCTACAAGCTAGTTTGCTGGTTTGCACATCGAGTCGAGTCACAGTTCCCCACAGAACGTTTAGGACTTCCTTCCCGAAACCCTACGTCAGCAGCTGAGGTCTTTCCTAGGAGGCTGGTCTGAGTCTCAGGTCTGGGGGGAGGCCCTGTGTGCCCTGCGGGAGGAGGAGGGCCCAAGGCCGGGGGCTGGGCTGTGAAGCAGGCTCCACTCTGAAGGAGGGTGCCCTGGGGGTGCGGACAGGAGCCTTCCCTACAAGGAAGGGAAGAAATCCTCGGAGCGTTCTGCCTTCGAGCATTAAGAGGGTTTTTATTTGCCAAAACTGGTTTGGCTCAGTGGATAGAGCGTCAGCCTGCGGACTGAAGAGTCCCGGGTTCGATTCCGATCAAGGGCATGTTCCTTGATTGCGGGACCATCCCCTGTAGGGGGTGTGCAGGAGGCAGCTGATGGATGATTCTCTCTCATCGATGTTTCTAACTCTCTAGCCCTCTCCCTTCCTCTCTGTAAAAAAAAAATCAATAAAATAAAAAAAGAGAGAGTTTTTATTTGAAAGCTGTCTTCCCCAGGCCCTGCCTCCCCCGACCACCACCCACCGCAGGTCCTGCCCGCAGAGGCTCCTGTCCCGTGGCTGTCCCGCAGCGGGGCCTGCCGGCCTGCCGAGAGCAGGAAGGGGAATCGGGTGCCAAGAATCCTCTGCCTGACCCCCTGGATTGAACAGGACTTCATCAACAGAAATGACCTCATTCTGTGCTCCAGTATCGTTTTCTTCTCCGTCAGATAAATAAAAGCCCTCATAGATCCACTGTTACTATGGCAAGTCGTTTACACGTCCTATCGACTGTGTGGTTTGGTACTTGGAGGCAGCTCCTGGCTGACCTCGCCAGGTCTGTGGGCTGGACCGCTTACAAAGCGCGGCAGCCTCATCGCCGGTGACACCCACCGCCCAGAGTCACTACACGAACTTAACAGAACCACGTGAATGCAGCCGTTAGCCTATTTCCTGGAGCATGCCTGATCATTAAAATATAGCAAGTGGTACAAAAGGAATAAAACACAGCTTATGCAGAGGACTGAGTTGAACGGATTGGCAAGGGGTCACCGAGAACAGGAAGTTTTTTAGAAGGTTTAGCTTTGCAACAGGGGGCCCACAAAGATGACTTCTCTCAGACTCCACTGGGTCTGAGCTCCTGCAGGCCAAGACCTGGCTATGTCTCTAATGTGCTTGCTGAACTTCAGGCGCATTACTTTGCATACTGGAGGCCCGGTGCATGAAATTTGTGCACAGGGGGGGGGGGGGGTGTCGTGGGGATGGGGCCTCAGCCCAGCCTGCACCATCTCCAATCTGGTACACCTCAAGGGATGTCTGACTACCCATTTAGGCCTGATTCTGGACTGCTGGCTCCCAACTGCTTGTCTGTCTGCCTGCCTGATTGCCCCCTAACCGCTTCTACCTGCCAGCCTGATTAATGTCTAACTCCTCCCCTGCCAGCCCGATTACCTCTAACTGCCCTCCTCTGCAGGCCTGGTCACCCCCAACTACTCTCCCCTGCCGGCCTGTCACCCACAACTGCCTTCCTCTACTGGCCATCTTGTGGCGGCCATCTTTGACCACATGGGGGCTGCCATCTTGTGTGTTGGAGTGATGGTAAATTTGAATATTGCCTCTTTATTATATAGGCTAGTAGATGCTCCCAAAAAAGGTCAGGAGAAGCTTCAATTCAGTAGATTACACTTCCATTTTCCTTCCATCTGCACTTCAAATGCACGTATTACACGTTAAATGCTTGTGTGATTCTATAATTATTTTAGGTTTGTTCATTCGGCCTCCCCAAATAGACAATACAATTGCTGGGTTCAAAAACCCTAGTGCTTACCTTCTACTCTCAAAGTGTCACAGCCACTAACTCAGCTGGCCGGTCTCCAAGTGAACTGGGTACAGGCTTTGGCAGAGACCTGACTGCTCCCTGTGCCCCCAGGATGGGCTCTGGGACTCCACTGGGGCCCCTTCCTGAGGACAAGCCGCCTCGTGGCAGCCCCGCCGCCCACCCTAAGCAGTGAGTGGGGTGACCAGCCAACCCGGCTCGCGTGGGAGGAGTGGGGATGCACTGCGCAGAGGCTACAGCCAGGAGAGTCCCGGCTAACAGGGAAGAGCCGGTCAGCCCACCACCACCTGTGACTGCGGGCACACCCACAGCTCTACAACATCCTCACAGCTGGGGACGTTCGGCTGTTGGCTGGTTAGTGTCATTCGGGGGAGACAGAAAAAGAGGAGCAGAGGGACGAAGAGTACCTCAGAGATGTCCAGAGGAAGGTTGCCAACATACACCTGGGTCTCCCTCTTTTTGACTCCTAAGGAGAAAAACAGCATTAAAAAGGCAGGTAAGCCGAAACTGGTTTAGCTCAGTGGTAGAGCGTCGGTCTGCGGACTGAAGGGTCCCGGGTTCGATTCTGGTCAAGGGCATGAACCTTGGTTGAGGGCACATTCCCTGTAGGGGGTGTGCAGGAGGCAGCTGGTCTATGTTTCTCTCTCATTGACATTTCTAGCTATCTCTCTCCCTTCCTCTCTGTAAAAAATAAAATAAAATATATTTTAAAAAATAAATAAATAAAAAGGCAGGTAAGCCGAAACCGGTTTGGCTCAGTGGATAGAGCATCAGCCTACAGACTGAAGGGTCCCGGGTTGCGGGCACATCCCCGGTGGGGGCGTGCAAGAGGCAGCTGACCGATGACTCTCTCTCACTGATGTTTCTAGCTCTCTAGCTCTCTCCCTTCCTCTCTGTAAAAAGTCAATAATATATATATATATATAAAGATATAGATATAGATATTTTTTTTTAAAGGCAGATGTACGGTTAGAAGACTCAAAGGAGGGGAGGCACGTGATAAGTGACACATTTTCTTCAATGTGAAAACACTCCCCCTACCAGCACCCCTCCCGGAGTGAGCAATGATGGCTACACGGCACCCAACCACTGGGCAGGCACCTGTCAGTGCCACGGAAGAGGCCGAGGCCCGGGGACAGTGCTGGCCGTGGGGGACAGAGTCGCCAGCACACCGGAAGCCAGCGCTCCCCACGAGATAGGAAGGAGTGTCTGGGTCCAGGGGGTCAAGTTTCAGAGTTAACATGGCCCTGGCCGGGTTTGCTCAGTGGGTAGAGCATCGGCCTGTGGACTGAAGGGTCCCGGGTTCGATTCCGGTCAAGGGCACATGCCTGGGTTGCAGGGCTTGGTCCCCAGGTGAGGGCGTGCAGGAGGCAACTGATCAATGATTCTCTCTCATTTTTGATGTTTCTCTCCCTTCCTCTCTGAAATCAATAAAAATATATTTAAAAAAAAAAAAACTACAAAAAAACATGAAACCGGGGAGAGGTGGAATGGAACCCGGGCAGAGGGACCGGCTCACGCAGAGGCAGAAGCTGCAGAAAGGCCCGGCACCTGGGGAGCCGCCTGTGGTCGGGAACAGCTCAGGCAGGCGTCTTCAAACTGCGGCCCGCGGGCCACATGCGGCCCGCAGAGGAGTCTGATCCGGCCGCCAGGTTTTTTGGGCAGTGAGCGCAGCCGAGGTGTTACAGTAGGAATTAGTAGTTCATATAGTCCGGCCCTCCAGCTCTCTGAGGGACCGTGATCTGGCCCCCACTTTAAAAAGTTTGAGGACCCCTGATAGAGGCAAGTGCGTGAGGGTGAGGGTGAGTGAGAGAAGAGCTGGCCACGGGGTGAAATCTGAGGCTGTGAGAAGGAGGTGTTCACCAGAGGTGACAGCAACAGCCGGGTTTGAAAGATCTCTCTGGCCAAAACCGGTTTGGCTCAGTGGATAGAACATCAGTCTGCAGACGGAAAGGTCCCAGGTTCGATTCGGGTCAAGGGCATGTACCTTGGTTGCAGGCACATCCCCGGTGGGGGGTGTGCAGGAGGCAGTTGGTCGATGTTTCTCTCTCATTGATGTTTCTAGCTCTCTATCCCTCTCCCTTCCTCTCTGTTGAAGAATCAATAAAATATATTGAAAGAAAGAAAAGAAAGATCACTCTGGAGACAGGGGAGGGTGAAATGAAGGAAGGTGAGCATCAAAGAGAAGCACGGAGTTAAGAGGGAGGGGGGGGGGCCTGAGCAGGGGTAGGGTCTAGGTGGGTCCCGCGTTCATGCAGGAACAGAAACGAAGTGGATTAAATAAGATCCACGTACAGACGGAGGGTCCCAGCACCAACACCTCCCCGCCCCCCAGGCTCACTTACTCAGAGACTTCTGCTCCTCCGCCTCTCCCTTCTTCCCCAACGGTCCAGCCGAGGGTGGGAAGTCACCGCTGCTCCAGAACCTGCTGAAACAGGTCTCCATGTCTCGCCTCCCAAGCCCGAACGCCAGCCAATGTTTGGGCATCAGCAGCAGGGCCCTGTCCCGGCCCCAGCCCCCGCCCCCGCCCCCGCCCCCCTTTCTGACGGAGGGTTTCCCTTCCTCCCCCCAGACTCAGGTTCCCAGCCAGGAAGCCCTCCACGGGCCTCTGTCCTTGGTAACCAGCAGGCCAGGATCGCCGGGGTGACCCCTGAGCTCTGGGCACCGGGCAGGAAGAGCAGGAAGGGAAGGCTCCACGGAAGGAGCTTGTTTGTCACCAAAGGAAGTGACTTACATGCTGCCGTTTCTGCCCCACAGGATCCTCTGCAGAGCCAAGCAGCCGAGGTTCGAGGCGCCGGGCACTCCACCGGCACTGAGCTACCGGCAGGTCCGGGGGCAGGCTCCCACGGGGTCCGCGCACCAATACCCGGGACCCAGTAAGGATTCCAGTTCCAGCGTGGGGTTTCCACTCCCCCAAGCCACGCTCCGGGCACCAGCTGGCGTCCAAGGACGCTACTCAGCTCTAATGCGCTCTGCCTGGGGGGAGAGTGAGGCTCCGCGGGCGCGGGCGATGGCTCTCAGCTGTGCTTCTTGATCGATCCTCCCTTCCTCCAGCTGATGGACGGACGCAAACCCCACCTGCAGCCAGACATTCCCGAGCACTGAACCACCCATCAGCACCTGCCAAATACCCTAAGGCCCCAATTCCTAAGTCCCTGGGTCCCTGATCATAGGCCTTACATGAAACCACAATCAGCGTGTGCTGAGTGCCCTAAGCCCCATCCCCTATCTTCCCCTTAAAAGTACGTGGACCCCAGCCCGCGTTCTCGTGCGCTCGCTCGCTCTCTCTCTCTCTCTCTCTCTCTCTCCCCCGGAAGCAGCCGCCAGTGGTACTCTTCTCTTCCATAAAGTCCTCCGGCCCTCTCTAGTTCATCTTTTACTTCTGGTGGGATGTTCCCGAGGTCTCCTCCTTGGCTTCCATCCATTTGTGAGAGCGGCTCTCAGATGGGAGCCGCCAGGTGGAGGAGATGCCTAAGGCAGTGGTCGGCAAACTCATCAGTCCGCAGAGCTAGGTATCAACCGTACGATGATGGACATTTCTTTGGAGAGCCACGTTTTTTAAACTTGAACTTCTCCTAACGCCACTTCTTCAACATAGACTCGCCCTGGCCGTGGTATTCTGTGGAAGAGCCACACTCAAGGGGCCAAAGAGCCGCATGTGGCTCTCGAGCCGCGGTTTGCCGACCACGGGCCTAAGGCGGGGTCTGGGGAGCGGGTGCAGAGCTTGCAGGCCCTCCAGGCGAGCCCCTCCCCGCAGACCTCCACTTGTTCACCAACCCGGAGGCCCTCCGAACGAAACACGTGGAGATTCGTTATCACAGCGAACAGAAAATAGTTACCATGAGCACATTGAAAACCACATCCATCTCGCCCTGGCCGGTGTGGGTAGGTGGTTAGAGCGTCTGTCCACGCACCGAAGAGTCTTTCCCAGTCAAGTGCATGTACCTGGATGGCAGGTTTGATCCCTGATCCCAGTATGGGAGGCAAGTATGGGAGGCAACCAATCAGATGTGTCTCTCTCACATCAGTGTGTTTCTCTTTCCCTCTCCCTCTCTCCCTCCTACTCTCTAGTAATCAATGGCGGGGGGGGGGATGTCCTCAAGTGAGGATTAACAGACAAAAATACTGAAAAGCACCCACCTCCACTCGGGAGTCTGCGTGTGGTGAGCATGGGGCCTTCGGCATGTAGGGAAGTGGTTCAGGTCCAGCCCAGAGCCCTGGGCACATTTCTTGTCCAAGGAGCCCTCTGCCCGCCATCACCAGGGGGGAGGGCGGTGCTGTGCTTCACGCACTTGCCCCGGATCAAGAGCTCAGTAAACAGTGGCCATTGGCTTTCACGGTATGCATCTCGCAGGCCCTTTCCTATGACCCGGAGGAGCACGGACTTCTCATTTTACAGAAGGGAAAGGCCAAGTTCAAGGACATCAGATGATGTCCTTATGGCTATAAAAGATATTGAGACCGAAACGGGTTTGGCTCAATGGCTAGAGCGTCGGCTTGCGGACTGAGGGGTCCCAGGTTCAATTCCGGTCAAGGGCATGTACCTTGGTTGTGGGCATATCCCCAGTAGGGGGTGTGCAAGAGGCAGCTGATTCTCTCTCATCGATGTTTCTAACTCTCTCCCTCTCTCCTCCTCTCTGTAAAAAATCAATAAAATATATATATTTTTAAAAAGATATTGAGGAACGCGGGTCTGTGACCCTGAAGGACACCTTGGTTCTTTTCCTACAGATACGAAGGCTGTCAACATCCTATGAAACGGGTTTTTTCTTTCCTTTGCTTAACACGTGTAATTAAAACATTAAATTTTCAAAGAAAATGGTAACTCTCTCAATTGTTCCCAGCTGTCGCAGGAAACCACAGCTTTCGCTGCAGCTAACTTTAAATAGAACCAGAAGCGATGAAGGTAATTAAAAGGCGTTGGTATAGGGAAATAAAAACAGAGAGGGGTGTGCGGGCAGAATCAGGGTTGTGGGTGTTTGTCCCAACTTCATGGAATCCCCAGAAAAGTCTACTGTAAGGTGAGCAGATGTCCCGCTTTTGGCGGGACAGTCCCGATTTTTAACAATTTTTTTTTAATTATTGATTTTTTACAGAGAGGAAGGGAGAGGGATAGAAGGTTAGAAACATTGATGAGAGAGAAACATCGATCAGCTGCCTCTTACACACCCTCCACTGGGGATGTGCTCACAACCAAGGTACATGCCTTTGATCAGAATAGAACCTGGGACCCTTGAGTCCACAGGCTAATGCTCTATCCACTGAGCCAAACCGGTTTTGGCAATCTCGGGACTTTTTTAAAATGCCACAGGACGTGGAACAAATTGTTAAAAATCGGGACTGTCCTGCCAAAATCGGGATGTCTGGTCGCCTTACTTTAAGGGCCGGCCAGGCCAGGTGCTAACAGCTCCTATACGTTGCACATGGGGTCCTCGCTAGAAGCCCTAAGAGCTGTACATTATCACCCCGTTATTACCCCATTGTACAGAGGAGTTCCCGGAGGCTCCCAAAACAATAATCTGGTCATTTGCCCAAGATAGCGATCTACGCTCATTAAGGGAGAACCCTGTTTTTGGAATCCAGACAACACCACTCTCCAGGGAGTTTCCACTTGGCCTGGAGAAACGTCTTATCTGTGCTTTTAAAAAGACAGAGACTATATAAAGAACCTGTATCATTCAATAACAAGATAAAAGAAACCAATCAGAAAGTGGACCAACATCCTGATCAACATTTCTCCAAAGCCATACACACAGCCAGGAAGCCCACAAAAAGATGCCCAGCATCGTTAGGCATTAGGGAAATGCAGATCAGAACTACAATGACAGCCTTGGCCAGTGTCCCTCAGTGGTTAGATCCCCGGCCGTCGGAGAGGGGTCTCGGGTTTGATTCCAATTCCCAGGTCAAGGGTACATACCTGCCTTACAGATTTGGTCCCTGACCTCAGGTCCCAGCCCGGGTGTGAGCAGGAGGCAGCCAGTCAGTGGGTCTCATGTATATCAATGTTTCTCTTTCCCTGTTTCTCCCCCTCCCTTCCACTCTCTCTAAAAATCAGTGGAGCCTGGCCCTCATGGCTCAGTGGTTTGAGTGTTGACCTATGAACCAGGAGATCATGGTTCGATTCCCAGTCAGGGCACATGCCTGGGTTCCGGGCTCGATCCCCAGTGTAGGGTGTGCAGAAGGCAACCCATCAATGATTCTCATTATTGATATTTCTTTCTCTCTCCCCCTCTCCCTTCTCTGAAACCAATAAAAACACATATTTTTAAATATACTTTATTGATGTTTTTACAGAGAGGAAGGGAGAGGGATAGAGAGTTAGAAACATCAATCAGCTGCCTCCTGCATACCCCTTACTGGGGATGTGCCGGAAACCAAGATACATGCCCTTGACCCGAAACCAAGGTATATGCCCTTGACTGGAATCGAACCTGGGACCCTTCAGTCCATAAGCCAACGCTCTATCCACGAGCTAAACTAGTTAGGGCAATAAAAAAAAGATTTTAATAAAAATATAAAAATCAATGGAAAAAATATCCTCAGGTGAGAATTAAAAAATAAGCCACAATGACACCACCTCACGCTCACTGTGATGGCCATAAAATAAAAAGGACGGCAATAATGACGTGTTGAGGATGTGGAGAAACAGGAACCCTCCCATTGCCGGCAGAAAGGTAAAATGGTGCAGTCACTCTGCAAAAACACAGAGAATTCCACGTGACACAGCAATACCTTGAGAGAAATTAAAACGCACGTCTACACAAAGACGTGTTCACAGCAGCTGTGGTGGGAACACAGCTCCAAAGCGGGAACCACCCAAATGCCCAACAACTGACACGTGAATGGATCAATAAAGTGTGGTCTATCCATACCACGGGACATTATTCAGCAACACAAAAGGAACAAAGCATTAACAAATACTACAATACAGAGGAGTCTCAAAAACCTGATGCTGAAGGAAAGAATGCAGACACCAAGACCACATGTTGTAGGATTCCACTCACATGCAAAGTCCAAAACAGACAAATCTGTAGCAGTAGAAAGTAGATTAGCGGCTGCCTGGGGTGGGAAGGAGGAGATGGGATGGGTGGTAATTGCTAAGAGGCCCAAGGCTGCCGTCAACGACATAATGTTCTAACAGTGGCTGTGCTGTAAACATGTTCCATATTTTTAATCACACACTGAAAACGTGAGCTTTATGGTATGCCAGTGATTATCGCAATAAAACTTCTTTTTAAAAGTCAAGAAACATTTTCTCGTGGAAACCGGTTTGGCTCAATGGATAGAGCATTGGCCTGCGGACTGAAGGGTCCCAGGTTCGTTTCCGGTCAAGGGCATGTACCTTGGTTGCGGGCACATCCCCAATGTGGCATGTGCAGGAGGCAGCTGATCACTATCGCTCTCTCATTGATGTTTCTAGCTCTTTATCCCTCTCCCTTCCTCTCTGTAAAAAAAATCAATAAAAAGTTATATATATATATAGTATATATATATAATTTTTTATTGATTTTTATCAATTATATATATATATATATATATATATATATATATAAATTTTTTTTTAAAGAAAGAAACATTTTTTCTTTTGCCATGCCGGCTCACAAAGCAGTGCTCACCAATGAAGCCCGGGGTGGCCTGCAGTGAGGATTTAGAACGTATTATATGAGCCTCTATGGCAGACTAATTTTTAAAAAATATATTTTATTGATTTTTTACAGAGAGGAAGAGAGAGGGATAGAGAGCTAGAAACATGGATGAGAGAGAACCATCGATCAGCTGCCTCCTACACACCTCCCACCCGGGACGTGCCCACAACCAAGGTACATGCCCTTGACTGGAACCCAACCTGGGACCCTTCAGTCCGCAGGCTAATGCTCTATCCACTGAGCCAAACCGGTTTCCGCCACACTAATTTTTTTAAAGCTAAAAACTAATATTGCTGCCGAAACCGGTTTGGCTCAGTGGATAGAGCATTGGCCTGCGGACTGAAGGGTCCCAGGCTTTCGGACTCAAGGGTCCCAGATTCAATTCCGGTCAAGGGCATGTACCTTGATTGCGGGCACATCCCCAATGGGAGGTGTGCAAGGAGGCAGCTGATCAATGTTTTTCTCTGATGGATGTTTCTAGCTCTCTATTCCTCTCCCTTCCTCACTGTAAAAAAATCAATAAAATATATATATATATTTTTTAAAAACACAACACTATTGCTTCCAGCAGTAGGGTGGTGGCAGAGACCTCTTATAACGTAGAGTGACCCACAGTTCTAACAGAACTCCGCACCTGAACAGCTTCAGTCTCTGCTGTCCGCTCCCACCCCCCACCCCTCCATCCCCACCAAAATCCTCTCAGACGCCCCAGGGGTGAAGCCAGCGACCAGCCCTGCGGGAACAGTGCCCCCTGCCAACTTGGATGGTCATGGGGGTGCAAGTCCCACAACTGCCTCCACCCCCGGGTCCTCACCGCTCCTCCCCCTGCAGCCCCGGGCCTGGAACCCACAACCAGCCCTGCCTCGCCTCTCCTCTCTCAGCCCAGTGCAGCCACCCCACCGCCCCGACGCCGACGCCGGCCCTCGGGGCCTCATCGCCTCACACCCGCCTCCTCCAGGCCCTGGGGGCGCAGGGCGAGGCGCCCCTCCGGCCGCAGATCCCCTCGGAGAGAGCCCGGTCCTGGAGGCGCGGGGCGGCGCTCCGGGAGGGTGACCCCGGGATCCCCGGCCTGGGAGCGAGTGAGCTCCAGTCTTATTAGGCACAGCACCTCCCAAAAAAAGCACACACCCACCCCCCCCCCCCCAAAGAGTAACGTTCCCAGAGAGCTTGGAGGGAGCGGACCGGCTCGCCTGGCTCTGGGGTGGGGTGGGGGAGAGAAGAGGGGCTGTTTTCAGGGTGGGAGAGAAGCACGTGGCGCACCCCGAATGCATTTGACTGCAGCGGGCGGCCGGGACCCGCGGGGCGCAGAAGTGGGGGCGCGCTCAGTGGGGGCGCTTAGGGAGGGCGCGCTTAGGGGGGGTTCAGGGGGGCGCTCGGGGGGGGGCACGCTCAGAGGGGGCGCTCGCGGGGGGCGGCGCTCGGGGGGGAGCGATTGGGGGGGATGTGCTCCGCGCCGGGGCGCGGCCGGCCCGCACGTGCAGCGGCTGCCGCTTCCTCCCGGACGGACGTGCCCCCCGGACCCGCCTCCGCGGAGGCTCGGGCCCCGCCGCCCCCGGATCCGGGCGGGAGGGCGGGGTGGCGCCAGCGCGGAGGGGAGGGCGGGCCGCGGAGGGGCGGCCACCGTCGGTCCCTCGCCCGTCGCGGCGCCGGACGCTCCCGCCGCCTCCGCTCGGTGCCCTCTGTCCCCGGGAGCGCGGGCTGGGCCGCTCCCTCCGGAGGGAAGCGCAGGGGGAGCCCCCGGACCGCCGCCCCCGGACAGCGCCGCGGAGCCCGGGCCGGGCCGCGCTGAGGACGAGCCCGGGCGGAGCCCCGCGCGCCGTGCCTGTCGCCGGCCGTGTCCGGAGCCGCGGCCGCGCCCGCCCGCTCGGCGCCCCGGCCGGGGGGAGGAGAGAGGGGCCCCGCCGGGCGTGGGCGCACGCGGAGCCGCCGTCGCAAGGGCCTCGCCGCCGCGGCTCCAGCGCCTCCGCCCGGGGGATGCGGCGGCCCCGGCCCCTGGCGCCCCCCCGTGTCTGCGCCGGGCCCCCTCGCTCCCCTGCTCCGCGGCCACGACGCTCGCGGGCCGCGCCGGCCAGGCCCCCCCCATGGCGGCCAAGTGGTTCAAGGAGTTCCCGCTGAACCTCAGGACCGTGTCGGAGCGCGCCCGGCCCGGCGGCGGCGGCGGCGGCGGGAAGCCGCGCAAGAACCCCGAGGCGGGCGGCGGCGCGGGGCCCCCCGCGGGCAAGGGCCGCAAGAACTCGGGGGCCGGCCCCGCGCCGCCCAAGGACAGCCGGCTGTCCCGGGAGAGCCTGCAGGGGCTGCTCCAAGCCGCCGCGGGCCGCGGCCGCAAGAACTCCCGCTCCGCCGCCCCCGACGAGGAGCCGCCGCGGGGCGCGGCCCGGAGCGCGGGCTGCAGCACCTACATCAACCGGCTCATCAAGGTGGACGCGCAGGACAAGAACGGGAAGGCCGGCTACCCCGGCGGCAGCTCCAGCAGCAGCAGCAGCAGCAGCTCCAGCTCTTCCTCCGCGTCCTCGTCCCCATCCTCCCTGGGCCCCGAGCTGGACAAGGGCAAGATGATGAAGCAGCAGGACACGGTAGGAACCCGGTCTCCCCGGGACCACCCTGCGGAGGCGAAACCGTGGGGGAGGAGAGCGAGCCTGTGAACCCCTAGATAGAGGTCCCTGTGCTTGTGTTTTCCCCGCTAACATGGGTGACTTCTAGGGGACCATTCAGAACCGTTAGTTTTCCCGAAACCGGTTTGGCTCAGTGGTAGAGCATCGGTCTGCTGACTGAAAGGTCCCAGGTTCGATTCCGGTCAAGGGGTGTGTGCAGGAGGCAGCTGATCAGTGTTTCTCTCTCATCGATATTTCTAGCTCTCTGTCCCTATCTCTTCCTCAAGGTAAAAAAATCAGTAAAATATGTTTAGGAAAAAAAAACACGTTAGTTTTTTTCATCTTGCAAAATCCTCATGTCAGGGGTGGGGAACTCTGCAGAATGGACCGTGCATTTAGTTTTATTGGCCGTGTGGATGAGTGACCATTGGAGGAAACCTTCCTGCTTTGTTCTGTTGTGGCCCCTGATCCGTGGTGGCTTATTTTAAGTTTGAAATCCGGGGAGGGTTGCAAAGCTAGACGTGTGTATGACTTTGCTTCTTGAGCATAAGGAATGGTGGCCTCCACACTTGTAAGTGTGGTTTTCAAAGCTCCAGAGAGGGGGGTCAGCCAGCCCACCCCACCACCCCCAGTTTGGGAGCCCCACCTCGAAAGGGCTTTCCCCAAGCCATTTTGTTCTGCCCATGGCCACGGGCGCTGCAGCAGCCAAACGGGGTCCGGGGCACCGGGCACCGGGCTCTGCAGGGGGACGGAGAAGCGAACAAAGGAACACTCTGGAGGAAATGGCAGATGGGGAGAACTGCTCCCGGCGCCCCAGAGCGTAGAGACTCGCTCCGTTCTCACAGAGATGAGCTGGGCGCGTGTCTGGTTTAAATTCGCGCTTCAGTGTGGAAAGGGGAGGGAGACGAGGTCGCACGGGGCTTTTGGTCTCCGGCCCGGTGATCGCTTTCTGCCCTGGGGACTTAGGTTTTCTCCGGCCCGGCTTCCAACATGCTGCCCGCCCGAATGGAGTCAGGAGCCGGAGGGACAGACCACGCAGGTCTATCTGCCTTGGGTCCTTCCATCCCTCCCTCCATTCGCTCTTCCCACAAATACCTGCAGCTTGCCCACCTCGTGCCAGGCCCTGGGGACTGCCCAGGCCCCAGCTGGTCCGAATGGGAGTGGTCTGCCTGACTGACTAGATCGGTGGTCGGCAAACTGCGACTCACGAGCCACATGCGGCTCTTTGGCCCCTTGAGTGTGGCTCTCCCACAAAATACCACGGCCTGGGCAAGTCTGCTTTGAAGAAGTGGTGTTAGAAGAAGTGTAAGTTTAAAAAATGTGGCTCTCCAAATAAATTTCGGTCGTTGTCCTGTTGGTTTTTGGCTCTGTGGACGAATGAGTTTGCCAACCACTGGACCTAGATGTAGGCAGGCACCTGCGCCCAGGGCTGCCCATCTCCCTTCCTGTTCCTTGTTGAGCTTCGGGCAGGTAGTTCACACGGTGGGCAGTCAGAAGAACAGAGTCAGGGAGGGGGTGGTTCGTCAGGGTCCCCAGCAGTGTTTGCCTGGGCATTTTCGTGGGCATCGCTTCTAGATGCCACCTCCCAAGTGGAGGGCTGTCATGCAGGTGGCCTCCCTTCCCTCCTGCCTGGCTGTCTCCGTTCTCCTGCCAGCTCCCAAGGTCCTGCTCCGGGAGCTCTTTGGAGGATGGAATCAAAGATGGTGGAGCAGCTGGAACCGGTTTGGCTCAGTGGATAGAACGTCGGCCTGCGGACTGAAAGGTCCCAGGTTCGATTCCGGTCAAGGGCATGTACCTCGGTTGTGGGCACATCCCCAGTAGGGGTTGTGCAGGAGGCAGCTGATTGACGTTTCTCTCATTGATGTTTTCTAGCTCTCTATCCCTCTCCCTTCCTCTCTGTAAAATATCAATAATATATATATATTTTTAAAAGATGGTGGGGCAGCTTCTTCCCAGGGAAGGGGCTTCTCACGACCTCCCACGTCGTCACACAGCTGCTACAGGACGGAACTATGGCGCGCCCATGCGCACACACACACACATATACACGCACACGCACGCACACACATACACACACACCACACACACCCCGCCTTTGCAGGCCCCTTGGTGTTTTTAGGAGGAGAGGTGCTATCTGACACAAATACTGATCAAACCCTGTCTGATTGTAGCCTCTGAGAACAAGTCTGCCTAAGCGTTATTGAACCTGGAACTCCCACAATGGTGTTCAGTTCTGACCTATTTCTCATTGTAAAGCCTGACCCCTTTAGAGCTGTTACAAATTCCTTGAAAGACAAGAAGCGGGACTTGGTCTTATTTTGATCCCCTCGCCAGTGCTAGCGCTCACTCAGCAGTGCCTGGGCGATTGACTGGCTTACCGTGATTTGCTGGCATTAAAAAGACCAAATCATGGGGAAGGTGGTAGACCAGCATTTTTTATGCTTTAAAGCTATAGGCGGCACTCCCCACCACCCACTTCAGCCACCCTGGGACCTGGCAAATGCTCTATTGCTTAGGGAAAGAAAAGGAGGTGAAAAGAGTCGGGGATCAGCGGGGTTTAGATGAATTGCTGACAGCCAATTACACTACAGAAAAATCAGATGTTTATGCAGCTCGGTGAATAACACCACCAAGTGCAAAAACTATGCAGAACTAGAGATTTTTTTTTTTTTTAATATACCTTACTGATTTTTTACAGAGAGGAAGGGAGGGATAGAGAGTTAGAAACATCAATCAGCTGCCTCCTGCACACCCCCTACTGGGGATGTGCCCACAACCAAGGTACATGCCCTTGACCGGAATCGAACCCGGGACCCTTCAGTCCACAGGCTAATGCTCTATCCACTGGGCCAGACTGGTCAGGGCAAGAACTAGGGATTTCGATGTCTTTTCAGATCAGCAGGTTGTCAGTAGCCATTTCACTGCCGCTGCCACCCTGGCATATGATAACCCTCAGCAGCTCTCCTCTCCGGTCCTCCCGCAGGTCATCATTTTAGAAGACTACGCTGACCCATATGATGCCAAGCGGACCAAAGGCCAGCGGGATGCGGAGCGAGTGGGCGAGAACGACGGCTACATGGAGCCCTACGACGCACAGCAGATGATAACAGGTGTGTAACCGGGAGCTGCACCGTGGGGCAGACCTCGCACACGCGCGTGGAGAGTGCAGTGTAGTAACCACTCCGTGTTTAGGGAAGAGGAAAGAAGCAGTTTAACCAGGGCATGCTGAGTGGAAGGGCCAGAAATTAGACTCAAAACTAAAGTCAAGTCCTGGCCGGTGTGGTTCAGTTGTCAGTGTCGGTCCGTGCGCCAAAGGGTTCGATTCCCAGTCAAGGTCCATACCTGGGCTGTGGCTTTGCTCCTGCCCCCGGATGGGGCTCTCTCACATCCAGCCTTCCCTCCCTCCCTCCCACCCTCTCAGAAAAAGCAATGGGAAAAATACCCTCAGATGAGGTTTAACCACAGTAACCAAAACAAACACACACAAAAGTCAAATATCCAGGTAACTTCCTCTATCGTTGGTATCCTTCCGTTCTGGAATGTACGGGGGTCTTCGTAGAGTTTCTAGTTCTGTGTAAAATGAGTTCATAGTGAGTTTGCAGATCTGCTCAGAACGTGATCTCCAGTTTTAAGACTGCCTGCTTTCAAAATCGAACATCAGTCACGGGAGTCCTAAATCTGCACCCAGAGACTGGTACATACTTAGAGGATTTTAAGTTGTCAAAGGACGCAAAGTGACGGGTCCTCTGCGTTAGAGGAGATTGGTTTCTCCACCAGCTCTACGACATTTGGAGCAAAACGTTCAGTAACGAAGGAATGGCACAAGCCACGCCGTTCAAAGCAAACCTCCCAAAACCAGAGACAGCCTGTGACTTCTCAAGTCGGAGCGATGCAGACTCAGGAGCTAAGCAACCCCCCCGTCACTTTCGGCATCACACTTTTCCCTTCTATTCATAAATCTCTTACATTAGTGTAAACAGAACTTTAAAATGACATACTTACTCATGATTTCGCTTTATTTGTGGGTTTTAGAGTAAGTTACTTACTCGCCATATTGCCCTTCAGCGTGCTTTAGTCCGGAATGGAAATGACGGACCCAGAGGAGCCTGTGTGAGTGCCGTGTGTTTCGTGCCTGCGTCAGGGGTCACATGTGAGACTCTCTCCGGTTTAAAAGCAGATTGAGCCGGTCCTTTATTCCAGAAGTGGCGCAGGGGGAGCGTGGGGCTGGGTGTCGTCTTTGTTAGCTCCCACCATGGCGCACCGTGGCCAGGGGCAGCCCGTCCTCCCCACCTTCAGACACTTGCAGAACAGATCTCGGATTCAGGTGTGGCTTGATGAGCAAGTGAATATGCGGATAGAAGGCTGTATCATTGGTTTTGTTTTTGTTGTTGTTGTTTTTTATTGATTTTTTTACAGAGAAAGGGAGAGGGATAGAGAGCTAGAAACATCGATGAGAGAAACATTGACCAGCTGCCTCCTGCACAGCCCCTACTGAGGATGTGCCCGCAACCAAGGTGCATGCCCTTGACCGGAATCGAACCTAGGACCCTTCAGTCCGAAGGCCGACGCTCTATCCACTGAGCCAAACAGGCTTCGGCGGTATCATTGGTTTTGATGAGTATATGAACCTCGTATGAGATGATGCAGAAGAGATTCATTCTAAAATAAAGTCAAGGAAAACAACTAGGTCGGATCATGCTGAAAGGAAATAATATTACTCTGCTCCAAAGTGTCTCCACCTAGAAATGACTTGAGTGCTAAGTGAGGAGTTGCTGAGAAGCAATACAGTTTGTGTGTACGGTGTCCTTTGTTGGGAGAATATGTCTTACCCGTTTATTCATATTGGCTTACAATACCCTTAAGTTACTAGCAGATGACAATAAATGATGTTGGATTGTTTTGTTAAAAAAATAAAATAAAAAATTGCCGAAACCGGTTTGGCTCAGTGGATAGAGCGTCGGTCTGCGGACTGAAAGGTCCCGGGTTCGATTCCGGTCAAGGGCATGTACCTTGGTTGCGGGCACATCCCCAGTGGGGGGTGTGCAGGAGGCAGCTGGTCGATGTTTCTTTCTCTCATCGATGTTTCTAGCTCTCTATCTCTCTACTTTCCTCTCTGTGGAAAAATCAATAAAATATATTTAAGTAAATAAATAAATAAATAAATAATAAAAGCAGATTGAAAAGCCGTCCGCCTCGGGCTCCGCCAGCAGAGCCCCCGAGGAGGAGCTGAGCAGAGGGGGCGCACGCAGCCCCTGGAGGGGTCCCCCCAGGCGCCCCCAGTGCAGGCGGCTGCCAGCGGAAGGCACTGCCGCTTCCTGGCTCTGCCCGCAGAGATAAGCCGGGGCCGGCGAGGGTGTACCCCGGCCAGGCCGTGACCCTGAAGGTCACCGGACGCTGACCTCTCATGAAATCTGTGAATGAAAGGAAGTGAAAACCAAGTTAGTCAGAGTTTTGAAAAATAATCGGAGACTTGAAAGAAATAGGGGAAAAGATTTACTTTCACGTAACATGGAGGAAAAAGTTCGTCTAAAAAAAAAAAAATGTTTCCTTTTTGTTCACCTTCCTTTGTCTTTTGGGTTTTACTCCTCTCTCTTGAACCGGAATGCGTCATTTGTCTCTACTGGCCCGCTGTTTGTTTGTTGAGCCGCACTGATTGCAGGGAAAGTGCTGTGCTTCTTTTTTTTTTTTTTTCCTTTTTTTTTTTAACGTATTTTATTGATTTTTCACAGAGAGGAAGAGAGAGGGATAGAGTGTCAGAAACCGATGAGAGAGAAGCATCGACTAGCTGCCTCTTGCACACCCCCCACTGGGGATGTGCCCGCAACCAAGTACCTGCCCTTGACTGGAATCGAACCCAGGACCTTTCAGTCCGCAGGATGATGCTCTATCCACTGAGCCAAATTGGTTTAGTAGTTGTGCTTTTTAGAGATGAATATATCTTCTGTTCTCCCTAGAATCCCCACAAAACTCCAGGGCCATCATCCCCTTGTGACAGGATCAAGGAGATTTTGACTTGCCTAAGCTCCCAAGACTTTGTAAGAGACAAAGCAGGAATTAGAACTCAGGTCTTACCACTCCAGATGGGATCGTCTGCTTCCTATATCAAGTTGCCCCCAAAATATGAAATGGTGCATGCAGAGGCACTTTTAACCTGATTCCTCAGTGAGGCATCTTCCCATTCAGACTCAGAGAGAGGGTTAGAGTAAGGTGACCAGACATACCGCTTTTGGCGGGACAGTTCAGATTTTTAACAATTTGTCACGCGGGACAAAATGTTAAAAATTGGGACGTCTGGTCACCTTAGGTTAGAGTGAAAAGTCAAAGCTGTCCAATATGAGTAAATGTAATAATAAGGACAGCTAGCATTTACTATGTAAGCCCTTGTTCATGCCAGGCTCCTGTGTTAAGTCATTTTTTTGTGAAAGAATCCATTTAGGAACGGGAAATTAATACAGTCAGCTGGAGACTAAATGCAAATCTATTAAAAATTTTAATTAATTTAAAAATTATTCCATCTTCTCTGTGCTTTTTAAAAAAAAAAATTGGTGAATTTTAAAGTTTCTTCGTTTAAAGCATATATATCCAAAAGCACTTCCCAGTCCATGTGGCGAGTATACCTCTCCCTCTGCCAGTAGGTTACACTACACAGCTGGGCAGAATAACAGGAAGTGAGTTTATCGGAAGCTGGAATAAAAGATTGCTGCCTGGTGTGTTTTTAAAAAAAAGAAAACTTTTGCCTTTTTTGTTCAGTTTGTTCCTTGTGTGATTTGTGGTCAAGTTCAGAAATGTCCCGTATTTCTTGGGGAACGTTAGGGATTTCTTTTTAGCTTGTTTCCACATTTCAGGAGCAGAAGGAGACTATACTGATGAATGGTTTAACGGTGGAGCGCCTAACCTCTGTCCCGCCCTTTTAAAAAAATATATTTTTTTAATTTCTTATTGATTAAGGTATTACATATGTGTCCTCATCCCTCCATTGACTCCGAAACCCACCCCCACTCATGTCCTCACCCCCCTGGTGTTCATGTCCATTAGGGAGGCTTATATGCATGCATACAAGTCCTTCGTTTGATCTCCTTTCGCCCACCCTCCCCTAACTTCCCTCTGAGGTCTGTCAGTCTGATCGATGCTTCTCTGCCTCTGGATCTGTCCCTGTCCCGCCCTTTTAATGACTGTGAAGTGGGAATAACATGTCTGATTTTAACAGTGTCCTGGGTGTCGAGAACACTGTCCTGATGTGTAACAGCCAACCAGTATTTCTTCACTGTGGACCAGGCCCCATGCAGGGTCTGGGCACCCAGGGAACAAGACCCACATGACCCCTGTCCTTTCGGCCCTCCCAGCCCCGGGCTGACAGACCTAACGCCAGCCAGTGCAGAGGAAAACATGTCACTGAAAAGGGTGGTAAGTGCCAGGAGGCGGAGAATCACAGTCATCATCTGCCTCGGGGAGCAGAGGAAGAAACACATTAAGAGGCAGTTAGTACTTTTCCTGTGGCCAAGTCCCCGGACCCGGGCTCCCTGGATCCCTGCCAAGACTTTGCTCTTACCTTTTAAAGGCTAACACTGTATCCATCTATGAGTGAATTCTTGCTTAGATGGATTCAGAGGATTGTTCATAAAAAGATACGACTGAGAATACAAGGCAATCGTAGTACAAACTTTGTTGTTCTGCTAAATGAGCAGAATCATTGCAGCTAAATAATTAGTAGAAATACTCCCTATAGTTTAGCATTATGGGTTTTAGCCACCAAATTTAGCCACTTAAGCATTAAAAGGGTCTTTTTAAAAAAATATATTTTACTGATGTTTGTTTTTTTTTTACAGAGAGTAAGGGTGAGGGAGAGAGAGCTAGAAACATCGCTGAGAGAGAAACATCCATCAGCTGCCTCCTGCACACTCTACACTGAGGATGTGCCCACAACCAAGGTACATGACCTTGACTAAAATTGAACCTGGGACCCTCCAGTCGCATGTGGTTTAAAAAAATGTGTATTTCTACCTCCAAATGGTTTTGCTTAAAAATAATATTTTTGCCTCCAAATGGTTTTGTAGGACTGTTTAAATAGTGAAATCTAAAGGAGAATCGCATTGTTGAGGTCTCCGTTTAAAAATTTACCCATAATTAAAAATGCATACATAGCTGAAGCCGGTTTGGCTCAGTGGTAGAGCGTCGGTCTACGGACTGAAGGGTCCCAGGTTCGATTCCAGTCAAGGGCATGTACATTGGTTGCGGGCACATCCCCGGTAGGGGGTGTGCAGGAGGCAGCTGGTCGATGTTTCTCTCTCATCGACATTTCTAGCTCTCTATCTCTCTCCCTTTCCCTCTGTAAAAAATCAATAAAATATATATATTTTTAAATGCATACACAGAAGATTATTTTTTTTATTCATATAATTTGTCTATACTTGCCTTGTTAAACTTAGATTTCAGGGCTTCTGAACTACACCTGCTTTTGTTCAGAAAACGTGGAAGTGTGGCTCAGTTGGTTGGCGTGTCATCTGGTGGCAGGTTTGATTTCGTGCGGGAGGGAACCCTTTTCCTGGTTCTTGAGGAAATCAGAGCTTGAGGAGGCTCTCAGCGTAGACTGGCACAGGCTAAGTTATGAAATGAATTAGGGGAAAAGGCATTCTAGAAATTGTAACTCACGTTTGACATGAGACCGTTGGGGCTTCAAGGACGGAAGGATGGAGAAAGCTCTGGAGTCCGTGCTAAACGGCTGCACGGCCTCAGTTTACCCACCTGTGAAATGGGTTAACACTTCCCGAACTCCGTGACGAGGCTTCCCTGAGATCCTGGGTATCACATGCTAGGGCATGCATGCACACTGAGCACCGCTACGCCAGAGGATCCCCCTTCAAAGAGGACTCAGGACAACGGGAGGCATGACACGTCCCGGCTACCGCGAATTGAGTAAAAAGGAAGGCTTGGTCTCCTGCTAGGCTTTTCACTGTAAGCGGCCTCCTTGTGGGCAGCCCGAGCTGGGGCGGGAAGATTGCAGCCCGCAGTCTGTTCCAGCCACCTTGCTGCAGGTCAGGCCCGGGTTTCGGCCGCAGATGGGTGTTTATCTGCAGCCCGCCGGCCGCATTCTGTTGTCTGCCATGTCAATGGCCTCTATCGGCAAAGCCAGGGCGTAGCTTCCTCTCGCCATTTCCTCCTTCTCAGGCCCGTTTCCTCTCGGAGCCGGCTCTGCACGTCAGGGGCCATTCTCCCCGCAGGAAGGGTCGGCGTGCAGCCCCGCGATTGTTTCTGTTGCTATGGCGCCTCTGGCCGGGGCAGCCAGGTGCTGGCCGGGGCCGGGAGGTCCCTCCCCTGGAGGGGGCAGCGGCCGGTGGTCAGGCTCTCCCCCCCCCCCCAATGAAACATCGTTTAAAAAGAGGATTCCACTTTGCAGATCTTGCCCAGGCCCAGGCCCATCTTGGGAAGGAACTCTCGGGGTTGCATGCTTTCCAGTGTTTTCCCCAGAGCTCCGTGCTCACCCACAGCCTGAAACAGACGTGCAGGGACCTCATCTCCGAAGTGAAAACGCAAACGGGTGTCCTAACAGCTCAGCGTCCTAATCGCTGTGCGTGGCCGCTCTCACACAGACGTGTTGACATTTCCTCAGGAGCGTGACGTCCGCTGCAAGGTTGGCATCGACGCTTTTTCCATTTGCCTCAGGCGGGGCAGAACCGAGGCCCGCACCTTGGGAAAAGGTTACCCCAGCCCGAGCCAGACTAAACGGAGGGCAGGCTTAGGTTCACACCAGAAACTGAAAAATTCTAAATCCATCCTACGAATTCCTTTGTGTTTTCTCTTAAAAAAAAAGAAAGAAAAAGAAACGTCAGCCTTATCTTCGTTGAACCAAGCGCAGAGGGTGTTTTGTTTCTTACTTTCCGTAACTCCGTTAGAATAAGCCGTGAAGGGGGGGAAAGCGGTTGGATTAAAAGTCAAGAGGCTTGGACTGGAGGGCAGGAGACCTCAGGCCACCCCAGGCCCCCTCCTGGCCCGGGGGCGGGGCCAGTCCGAGCGCCCTGTTGGGGGGGTGGGGGGGTAGATACAGGGGGACACTCCTCTTCAGGGCTAGCGATGGCCAGTGCTCTGGAGAGCAGGAGAACGAGAGGGACCGGGGGCCCAGGAGGGGCCTCGCCTCCCGTTAGCATCACCTGGGGGCGGGGAGGGGGCGGCTTTTGCACCTCTCACTCCCAGGTCAGACCCCAGACCGACTGGATCAGGACCTCTGCCGATAGGCCCCAGACCTCAGTGGCGGTTAAAACTCCCAGGTGATTCCAGGGAACTGCAGTCAGGGACCCCCATCCAGCAGAATTAAATCTTCACCCTGTTAATAAGCTCTGTCCTTTCTCGTGTAGAGTCCTGATTGTAAAACCTTTCCCTTGAGCGTTTCGCCTGTTGTCCTCTCCCTGTTAAAGAAGTCGCTCCATGTGCACTGACCTGTGAGCCAGAAGGTCAGGCTCGGTTTCCGGTCGGGGCACGTGACCAGGCTGCGGGCTTGACCGCCGTGGGGGTGGTGCCGGAGGCAGCCAATGGATGATTCTCTGTCGTCCACGGTGTTTCTCTCTCTCTCCCCCCCTTCTCCCTTCTTCTCTGAAATCAACCAGAAAGAGAAGTGGTCTTCCCTGGCGGGTAGAATCCATGCCGCCTCTCCACAGTGTCCCCACGCCCTTCTCCCCGGCGCTGGTGGCCTCGCAGTGTGCGATCCTCCTCCTCCTCCTCACGGGCCCTCCTTCGCAGTCCTCTCTGCCGGCTCCTCTCCTCCGGAGGGAGTCCCGGGTCTCCGTGGACCCCTTTCCAGCCCGCCGCCTCTCCTCCGGTGGCTGCGTCCACCCTCCCAGGACTGACGGGATCCATCGGCGAGTAATGACATCTCCCTCTGAGCTCCGATCCACATTGCCCCCTTTTTGAAGAAGTTCTAAAGTTCCTTCCTCTCTGTCTTCCTACCGTCCATCCGATTATTACTTTTTAAATTATATTTTATTGGGTTTTTCTTTACAGAGAGGAGGGGAGGGGCATTGAGAAGAACCACATGCTGCTGCTGTTGGCTTACGTCCCCGGCTCTGGTTGGCCAGACCTTAGGCACTGACTCCACCTGCCACGGCCTCTGGGCTCGACCCTGGTCAGTCAGACACTGCTGGTGCTTTCCCACGGTGGCCGGCTGGTTAGCTGGCGGCAGGTGGATTTGCACCAGGTTTTTCGCATCCATTTCTTACCTGATCACTCCTCCTTTCAAGTCATAGATAGATGATAGATAGATAGATAGATAGATAGATATAGATTTTTTTTTACAGAGAGGAAAGGAGAGTTGGAAACATCGATGAGAGAGAAACATCCATCAGCTGCCTCCTGCACAGCCCCACTGGGGATGTGCCTACAACCAAGGTGCATGCCCTTGACCGGAATCGAACCTGGGACCCTAGAGTCCGCAGGCCGACGCTCTATCCACTGAGCCACACCGGTCAGGGCTTCCCAGCCTTCTTTGTCCAAGTCCAGACCATACTGTTCTGGCTTATTCCATCCTATACACTGTATGGCATTACCTCCCAACAAAACAGAAATGTAACTGTTATTATTTTGTTTTTATTTTTTTTGTGTGTGTGTGTGTGTGTGTGTTTTTACACCAAGCAACCTACAGGGCTGCTGCTTCTATTGCTTGTTTAAAAAAAAAAGTGGAATCATTTTTCTTTGCATCCTTGTCTTTCTACACGCTGGTGCCCGGGCCCGCTTCCTCCTCTGGCTTCTCCTCCCGCCCCCTCTCCCCTCTCCTGGCCTCTGTCCTCTGAACTCATCTCTCAGCTCCCCTTTCTGGGAACAAGCCCTGTGTGGCCCCCGCCTCCCTATCTTCCCTCGTGCAGCTTCCTCCGCTGGAAGTGACCTCCTCTATCGGAGTCAGCGCATCTTCCATTCCTCTTCTGCCTGGCGCCGGGCCAAGTGCCGGCCGCGGTGGCGAGTGTGGCTCGGGAGCCCCGCTTCCTGTTTGGAGGCCAGGCTCTGCCACTGAACGGTTTGGGCAGTTTCCTTAAGCGCCGGCGCTTCGGATTTCTCCCCTGGGACACGGGCGCTGACGGGGCCCATCTCACACAGCTCCGTGAGTGTGGGACGGTGCTTCAGGCGCAGTGCACGACCAGGCCTGTGAGCGGCGTGGTCGTCTCTGTTCCTCCTCGGGACACCTCTTTTGCGGTTACTTATCCTGCCGCGGTTAGCCGGTTACGCGGCATTTGTGGATGGGCCTGGCTTCCCCATTCTACGGAAACCACCTATGCCGCCGAAGCCGGTGTGGCTCAGTGGATGGAGCGTCGGCCTGCAGACGGAAGGGTCCTGGGTTCGATTCTGGTCAAGGGCATGTACTGGGGTTGTGGGCACATCCCAGGTGGGGGGTGTGCAAGAGGCAGCTGGTCGATGTTTCTCTCTCTCATCGATGTTTCTCACTTGCTATCCTTCACTCTGTAAAAAATCAATTTAAAAATATTAAAAAAAGAAAGAAAGAAAGAAACAAACCACCTATGTCTAATGCCCGGTGCTCTGAATATATAGTTAACACTCCGTTGGTTTTTATTAAGATGCTTTGATCTCCTGACAGTTAAAAACTCTGCAGGTAAATCATCCTCACAGCCAACACGGGACCAGGAACAGCGGGACAAGTGGCCCCAGGACACTTCTGTTCTCCCGACACTTCTGTAGGCGGCTCCCAGGCGCACACCTGTCTTCAGATGTGATCCCTGCTCCTGGGACTTTGTCCCATGATGTGGCCGGGCTCCTTCCTGCAGCCGTAGGAGCCGTGCTGGTGGTCCCTGCACCCCACCACACAGACAGCCGGGGGGAAGGCAGCTGGCTCATCCCGGCTTCCTGGCAGCCTCTCAGGGTGTTCCGTGCGCCGCGTGTTTTTCAGAAATCAGACGCCGAGGATCCAAAGACCCCCTGGTGAAGGCCCTGCAGCTGCTGGATGGCCCCGGGGAGCCGGGGGAGCCGGGCGCCAAGCCGGAGGCGCTGGCCCGCAGGCGGAGCTCCAAGGACCTGCTGGGGAAGCCGCCGCAGCTGTACGACACCCCCTACGAGCCGGCGGCCGAGGGGGGCCCCGAGCGCAAGGCGCGGCCCCCCGAGGCCCACGGCCGGCTGCCCCAGGACGACGAGAGGCCCGCGGCCGAGTACGAGCAGCCCTGGGAGTGGAAGAAGGAGCAGATCGTGCGGGCGCTGTCAGGTGAGGGGCTGTCAGGGGGGCGCTGTCAGGTGAGGGGCTGTCAGGTGAGGGCTGTCAGGTGAGGGGCTGTCGGGGGCGCTGTCAGGTGAGGGGCTGTCGGGGGCGCTGTCAGGGGGGCTGTCAGGTGAGGGGCTGTCGGGGGTGCTGTCAGGTGAGGGCTGTCAGGTGAGGGGCTGTCAGATGGGGGCGCTGTCAGGGGGGCGCTGTCAGGTGAGGGGCTGTCAGGGGGGGGCTGTCAGGGGGGCGCTGTCAGGTGAGGGCTGTCAGGTGAGGGGCTGTCAGGGGGGCGCTGTCAGGTGAGGGCTGTCAGGGGGGCGCTGTCAGGTGAGGGGCTGTCAGATGGGGGCGCTGTCAGGTGAGGGCCTGTCAGATGGGGGCGCTGTCAGGTGAGGGGCTGTCAGGTGAGGGGCTGTCAGGTGAGGGGCTGTCAGATGGGGGCGCTGTCAGGTGAGGGGCTGTCAGGGGGGCGCTGTCAGGTGAGGGGCTGTCAGATGGGGGCGCTGTCAGGTGAGGGGCTGTCAGGGGGGTGCTGTCAGGTGAGGGGCTGTCAGATGGGGGCGCTGTCAGGTGAGGGGCTGTCGGGGCGCTGTCAGGTGAGGGGCTGTCAGATGGGGGCGCTGTCAGGTGAGGGGCTGTCAGGGGGGCGCTGTCAGGTGAGGGGCTGTCAGGGGGGTGCTGTCAGGTGAGGGGCTGTCAGATGGGGGCGCTGTCAGGTGAGGGGCTGTCAGGTGAGGGGCTGTCAGATGGGGGCGCTGTCAGGTGAGGGGCTGTCAGGGGGGCGCTGTCAGGTGAGGGGCTGTCAGATGGGGGCGCTGTCAGGTGAGGGGCTGTCAGATGAGGGGCTGTCGGGGGTGCTGTCAGGTGAGGACCTGTCAGGTGAGGGGCTGTCAGGTGAGGGGCTGTCAGGGGGGCGCTGTCAGGTGAGGGGCTGTCATATGGGGGCGCTGTCAGGTGAGGGGCTGTCAGATGAGGGGCTGTCGGGGGTGCTGTCAGGTGAGGACCTGTCAGATGGGGGCGCTGTCAGGTGAGGGGCTGTCAGATGGGGGCGCTGTCAGGTGAGGGCTGTCAGGTGAGGGGCTGTCAGATGGGGGCGCTGTCAGGTGAGGGGCTGTCAGATGGGGGCGCTGTCAGGTGAGGGCTGTCAGGTGAGGGGCTGTCAGATGGGGGCGCTGTCAGGTGAGGGGCTGTCAGGGGGGCGCTGTCAGGTGAGGGGCTGTCAGATGGGGGCGCTGTCAGGTGAGGGGCTGTCAGGGGGGCGCTGTCAGGTGAGGGCCTGTCAGGTGAGGGGCTGTCAGGGGGGCGCTGTCAGGTGAGGGGCTGTCGGGGGTGCTGTCAGGTGAGGGCCTGTCAGATGGGGGCGCTGTCAGGTGAGGGGCTGTCAGGGGGGCGCTGTCAGGTGAGGGGCTGTCAGGTGAGGGGCTGTCAGGGGGGCGCTGTCAGGTGAGGGGCTGTCAGGTGAGGGGCTGTCAGGGGGGGGGCTGTCAGGTGAGGGGCTGTCAGATGGGGGCGCTGTCAGGTGAGGGGCTGTCAGGTGAGGGGCTGTCAGGTGAGGACCTGTCAGGTGAGGGGCTGTCAGGTGAGGGGCTGTCAGGGGGGGCACTGTCAGGTGAGGGGCTGTCAGATGGGGGCGCTGTCAGGTGAGGGGCTGTCAGATGGGGGCGCTGTCAGGTGAGGGGCTGTCAGGTGAGGGCTGTCAGGTGAGGGGCTGTCAGATGGGGGCGCTGTCAGGTGAGGGGCTGTCAGGTGAGGGGCTGTCGGGGGTGCTGTCAGGTCAGGGGCTGTCGGGGGCGCTGTCAGGTGAGGGGCTGTCAGGTGAGGGGCTGTCAGGGGGGCGCTGTCATGTGAGGGGCTGTCGGGAGGGCGCTGTCAGGTGAGGGGCTGTCAGGTGAGGGGCTGTCAGGGGGGCGCTGTCATGTGAGGGGCTGTCGGGAGGGCGCTGTCAGGTGAGGGGCTGTCAGATGAGGGGCTGTCAGGGGGGGCGCTGTCAGGTGAGGGGCTGTCAGGAGGGCGCTGTCAGGTGAGGGCCTGTCAGGTGAGGGGCTGTCAGGAGGGGCGCTGTCAGATGGGGGCACTATCAGGCGGGGGGTGCTGTCGGGGGGCGCTGTCAGGTGAGGGGCTTTCGGGGGGTGCTGTCAGGGGGGGCGCTGTCAGGCGGGGGCGCTGTCAGGCGGGGGGGGGGGGGCCTGTCAGGTGACGGGGCATGTCCTTCGCTCTTTGCTGTCCTGCTGGGAAAGCTTAGCCCACTGGGCAATTGCCATGTTTTATTCGTCCTCAAGTGCAAGTCTCCTTTTCTGAGGAGCTGGGTAGAGGAAACAAAAATTGGGCCTTACCGAAACCGTTTAGCTCAGTGGATAGAGCGTCGGCTTGGGGACTGAAGAGTCCCAGGTTTGATTCCGGTCAAGGGCATGTACCTTGGTTGCAGGCACATCCCCAGAAGGGGGTGTGCAGGAGGCAGCTGGTCGATGTTTCTCTCTCATCGATGTTTCTGACTCTCTATCCCTCTCTCTTCCTCTCTGTAAAAACTCAATAAAACATATTAATAATAAAAAAGAATCGGGCCCGGTGGAAAACCAGGACCAAAGAAGAGCCCTTCCCATCGCAGTCCTCTTTTATCCTTCCGCCATTTCCTTCTCCTTTCCCTTCCCGGGCACAGCTCGTGGAGAGGCCGTGAGTGACTATTGGAAAACCTTGTCTGGTCGCCGCCAGGGCTTTCTCGTGGGGAGCAGCTTTTGTAGCTCTTCCTGGCACCGCTCCTCAGACCTGTCAGAATCCCTGTTCCCAGGCGTTGCAGGCAGAGGCGATGGGAAGGCTGGGGTGACGCCAGCTGTTTCTCTCTTCTTCCTCCTGGAGGAGCCAGCTCTTTACGGGTGAATTTTTTAAATAACTTACAAGGAAGGTGAGAGGCTGTCAGTAGGTATTAAAGGTAATTCGCCCTCCTGCTTCTCTCGGGACACCGGTTTTCCACTTGGCCGGCCACGTAATTTCTTTGGCCTTTGATTTGTAAAGTGAGGCATGTCTTTTCCCTCCAAGAGTCACGCCACGTTAGCGATGGAAAGTGGAGTCCGTGGCCCTGGCCAGTGTGGCCCGGTGGTTGGAGTACCAGCCTGGGCACAGAAGAGTTTCAGGTTCGATTCCGGGCAAGGGCTCATACCTGGGTTGCAGGTTCGATCCCCTGTCCCAGTTAGGGCCTGTGCAGGAGGCAGCCATTCAGTGTATATCTCTCTCCTCCCCGACTCCTCTCCTTCCCTCCTCCTCTCCACGCTCCCAAAAAAAATCAATGGGGAAAATATCCTGGTGTTCAAATTAAGAAGGAAAGTGCAGTTCCTGTAAAGGGTGAACACAGAAGGTAATCTGTTTGCTGGCCAACCTTCACGTCCGTTTGAATTTCCCTTCCGTCTTCTCTCATCATCCTCTGTCCGGCTCCATGGCGCGGCATCGGGAAGGCGCCCTTCAGCAGTCACGTCCTGTTTCGCCATTGGCTTTTCTTTCTGTTTTACTATTTCATGGTAAAAGCTCGATTTCACAGAGGAAAACGGACCCTTGCAAGGAATCGTCACCTGTAACTTGGTGAAGTCTTTTCATCTGAATATACGAGAATTGAAGCATTTTTTCCCTAAAGTCACATGCTGAAATATGTTAAAGTGGGTTTTCTTTCAGATTCTTTTTCAAAAAGTATACTTTTATTGATTTTTTTTTTTTTTTTTTACAGAAAGGAAGAGAGAGGGATAGAGAGTTAGAAACATCAATGAGAGAGAAACATGGATCAGCCAGCTGCCTCCTGCACACCCCCCACCGGGATGTGCCGGCAACCAGGGCACATGCCCTTGACCGGAGTCGAACTCGGGACCTTTCGGTCCGCAGGCCGACGCCGTATCCACTGAGCCACACCGGTTTCGGCTTCTTTCCTATCCTAAAACTGCCCCAGCCGATGAGTGCCGTGCGGGGCAAGGAGCTATCGGTGGGTGCTCCGGAGTGATCAGATACCACGGGCGGCGGCGGGGGGGGGGGGGGGGGGGGGGTCCGCAGAGTGTGCGAGCTCGCCCAAGGGGAGGCAGAGACAGAGACGGAGGTTTGTTCTCTGCACGTTCCCGGCGGCCGGCCTCCGGGGCCTGGGGCCTCGGATGTTAACGGAGCCTTCCTTCCAGTTCAGTTCGAAGGCTCCGAGAGGCCTTCCCCCAGGGAGGAGCCCGCGAGGCAGCACCACCGGCAGAAGAGCTGGACCCAGAAGATCCTGAAGCCGGTGCTCCCCGACCACGGCGAGGGCGAGCGCGTGGACCCGGGCCTGCCGCTGGACAAGCAGCCGTGAGTCCCCGCACCGACAGCAGGGGGCGCTCACCCCAGCCCGGGGCCCATGGCTATGGGGGCTCCTGAGGGCCTGTGTGGGCGGGGCTGACGGGGGAAAGCCCACTTCCAAAGCCCAGGGCCCCTGTACCAAGAGCCTGGCTTTCAATGTCATTCCCTGCCAAAACCGGTGTGGCTCAATGGATAGAGCGTCGGCCTGCAGACTGAAAGGTCCCGGGTTCGATTCCAGTCAACGGCATGTACCTTGGTTGTGGGCACATCCCCCGTAGCGGGTGTGTGCAGGAGGCAGCTGATGGCTGATTCTCTCTCATCGATGTTTCTGACCCTCTATCCCCCTCCCTTCCTCTCTGCAAAAAAATCAATAAAAAATATTTTAAAAATAAATAAATACATTTCGTTCCCGCGACGGAGCGATGACACGGCCCGGGGAGCGCCCTCGGGGGGGGGGGGTGGTTTTGGGGCCCGGGGTCGCCCAGAGCGGCAGCTCGTCCGTCCTGAGCGGGGAGGGGGGCCGGGCCGGGCTGCGGCGCTCCTGCGAGGCGTGCTGTCACCTGACGCTTCGTGGAGCGGGGCCCGGCCTGGATTTCTGCTCTGACGCTCGTGGTGTCTCCCCCCTGCACCCGTTTTCCAGCTGGTACCACGGCGCCATCACCCGTGCGGAGGCTGAGAGCCGGCTCCAGCCCTGCAGAGAAGCTGGCTACCTGGTTAGGAACAGCGAGTCCGGGACCAGTCGGTACTCCATTGCACTGAAGTGAGTGTGGCGGCCCCGGGCTCTCCCGTTGGGGTGGGGAGTGGGGCGGAAGGGGGGGCCGTGGACAGTCTTTCCTGTCGTGGATTCGATGACCAGACAAAAAAAGATACCATTTCAAGATAGTCCACAGGGGGGCATGCATCGCCACCTACTAAAATGCATTTGCTTGGGCGACAGAGTCTGAAATGCTCTCATTAGGATGCAAAAGGGGGTTGGCGGTGAATGCCTCGATATCGTGTCATGGTACATGAGTCAGTTTGTACCTCACCTTACCCAATCTAACGCGGGTCCTCTCCCCAGAGAAATAACTCCCGACAAAAAGAACAGTGTCTGACAGGATAATTCAGTCATTTTTCACCCGTCCCCCAGCGTTCGGGGGTTTTAATAAATCAGATCCCTGATTGTTCCCATGCCAAGCGCCGCTCTGATACCAGCTCCTTGTGGTGGAGGAGGAAACGCTGAGTCGCTGTCCCTCCCCTGTCTGACTGCACACGGAGCTTCGTTTTGCCTGGGGGCCCGGTGGAGCTTGAATCATGGAAACTCTCATCGCCCGCGAGTCCAGCGGTGCTATATTGGAGGATCATTGTCAGGCGCCCTAACGGCGTTTCCTTCCTCAGGAAGCTGAGCCCCTGCAGCTGAAACAATCAGGCTGGAGGGGAAAGAGGCTGGGGCGGAGGGTGTGTGAGCAGCACGGCTCAGAACGGGACAGGCCACCAGATACACAATGCCAGGAATAGCCGTGCTGTGTTCCTGACACTGGTGCTGGCGGGTTCGGCCTCAGAGCCTCCAGGGCCAGCTGTCATTCCCTACAGCCAGGGCGGTCTTTCCAGACTGAGATGCAGTGAGGGGAGGAGGGGAGGCGGGGAGGGGGTAAGCGGGGGGGGGGGGGGGGGACGGGAACAGTTTTACTACTATTGCTGTTGTTGTTGTTAATGTATTCTTTGGGGAAGAAAGAAGGAGGAAACCTTATACGTGTCCTTTCAGCCGTGATGAAGAATATGAGTTTAGCCGTAACCGGTCTGGCTCAGTGGACAGAGCGTTGGTCTGCGGACTCAAGGGTCCCTGGTTCTATTCCAGTCAAGGGCATGTACCTTGGTTGTGGCACATCCCCAGTAGGGAGGGTGCAGGAGGCAGCTAAATCGATGTTTCTCTCTCATCGATGTTTCTAACTCTCTATCCCTCTCCTTTCCTCTCTGTAAAAAATCAATAAAATGGCCGGGACCGGTTTGGCTCAGTGAATAGAGCGTCGGCCTGCGGACTGAGAGGTCCCGGGTTTGATTCCGGTCAAGAGCATGTACCTTGGTTGCGGGCACATTCCTGGTGGGGGCTGTGCAGGAGGCAGCTGATCGATGTTTCTCTTATCATCGATGTTTCTAGCTCTCTATCCCTCTCTCTTCCTCTCTGTGAAAAATCAATAAAAATATATCTTTTTTTAAAAATCAATAAAATGCACTAAAAAAAAAGAATATGAGTTTAAACTCACCTTAGTGGTCTCATACTTGGGCTTAAGCACAGTAATTTGGCAATTTGAGGACCAGGCGGGACTAGACTTGTTGACTTTGTGTGATGACTAAGGATGAACAACTCCAGGACACACATTTATTTATTTATTTTTAATTGTAACATTTTATTTTTTAAAAATTTTTAAATATATTTTATTGATTTTTTTACATAGAGGAAGAGAGAGGGATAGAGAGTTAGAAACATCGATGAGAGAGAATCATCCATCAGCTGCCTCTTGCACACACACACACCCCCCCCACGGGATGTGCCCGCAACCCAGGTACATGCCCTTGACCAGAATTGAACCTGGGACCTTTCAGTCCGCAGACCGAAGCTCTATCCACTGGGCCACACCGGTTTCGGCTGGGACGCACATTTATCGAGGGCCGTGTTGGTTTGTAACGATCCCGGGAACGGACGAGAACCTGTCTCCCTGTGGATCTGACCAGGGTTCTTTCCAGCAAGGAGGGGGTCCCCTGGCGCCCTCACTCAGTCTCCTCCTCGATTCTGTCTCGTTCCAGGACGAGCCAAGGCTGCGTCCACATCATCGTGGCCCAGACCAAGGACAACAAGTACACGCTGGACCAGACGAGTGCCGTCTTCGACAGCATCCCCGAGGTGGTGCACCACTACTCCAACGAGAAGCTGCCTTTCAAGGGGGCGGAGCACATGACCTTACTCCACCCCGTGCACAGCAAGCTGCACTGAGGCTCCGCCCCCGCCCCCCGGCCTCTCGCACCCAAGAGGGCGTCGGCGCCCACCCGCCCTCGGGGGACCAGGCTGGACTGCGCCGCAACCATTGGTAGGAGGTGGCGGGGTCTTCATGGAGAAGTCAAAGCGTCTTTGGGCGTGAATCCATTTCATTGACACTCGGTCGCTGACCCGTCCCTTTCCTCCCTGCTAAGCAGCCCTCCAATAAGAAATCGTAACCTGCCAGCTGCCTCCACTCCCTGGAGTAGGGTGTTCCATTTGGGTCTGACCCTCAGCCAAGGTGAGTCAGGAGTCCGGGCGTATGGAAGTTCTCCAGACACTGTGCTAATGTTTGCCTGCATTGCCTCGTCTCCCACGAAGCCCACGAAAACGCACTCGGCTTTTACATAAAAAAGGATCAGGCGGAACGGAACAGCAAGTACTCCCAGGGTCCTTTTGGACAGAAGAAGGCTGGACAGAAAGAATTAAGCGAAGAGCGGACCTCACCGAAAAGCTGTCTTCCTCACATTGTCCTCCTCCTGCTTTGGAGTCCGTGACGTCTCACAGCGTTAGGGTCTGGCAGAGGATTGTTTGGTTGGTCAGCAGCCTTCTGAGAAAGCTTGTGCTTCCTTGATCTCTGAACGTTTTTTTTCGTCATCTCAACGAATCGGTGATATACGCATAAACAGGAAGGACCATTTGAAAATCAACACAGGCTTCTTCTGGCCAAGGTGGCGTCATGAGTAAGGACGGTACCTGCACCCTCCCACAACCACGTCAGAATGACAGCTAAACTACAGAACAGCCGTCGCTCAGCGCGGCCTGGAATCTAGCTGAAAACGGGAGCTTTACAACTAAGAATATGCAAAAGATGCCACATGGAGACGGGTAGGAGAGGCAGAGACACTGAATGAGCTGGTCTCGCCCCCACAGGTGGATAAAAATTGGGAGGGCCGTCTCGACCGTGGAGGTCCCCGCTATGGAGCGAGGGGTCTCGCTCCACACCAGGTCCCCTCGCCCAAGGTCCCCGTCCCCAAAACCTCTGGTTGTAAAACCCAGCTGGGGGGATTGCCACTGAGGGAGATGGAGGGCTTCTGGAGTCCCAGGCAGTTCCTGCTAAAGGGCCTGGGTGTGGATGTATCCAGACTCCTCCCTCTGAATTCCCCTGCTAGGGCAGCAGCTCAAAAGGCACCAGGGACCTACGGGGAGGAACTGAATGGTCTGACATCAGGGTGAGGTCTGGAGGGCTGGCTTTCCACCAGATAGAAGTGTTGGCAGAATCCATTGTTTCTTTGCTGAGTCTCCCCCCCACACACACACACACACACACAGCCATCGGGCAGTATCTGAATCTCCGTCAACCTTGTTATCACTGTTCACCCCACCCTGGTGATTCCCTGAGACCCGCCTCACCCAGCTGTCAGTCCCACCCAGGCCGTTTCCAGTGGCTTTTCTGTACAAAGAGCCTGTCTGGCCTCATGATTCAGATTTCCCTAAAATCTCTCAAATAAGCAGCATTTACTGACATCTTGACTAAGTATCCCCAGGCCAAGCACTAGTGGCAGTTGGCGTTGGTTCATAGCGTGGCCTCACCTGGGCCATCCAAGCCCAGCACGAGTAGCAGTCATCTGCAGATCGATTTGCAGCCCCTACCGGTGCCAGGAGGCCCCAGGCAGAACACCGGTGGCAGCTGACCTTGGCCTGTACCTCCCGGAAGGCTCCGGAGCCATCGCACCGGGTGGACAGCCTCACACCAGGTCCAAGCACCTGAGCCCTGCTGAAGTACGTGCTGCTCTGCGGTGTAAGCCCCTACATCTGATCCTCCACCGTGGTCACAGCCAGTTCTTGCCGCTGATTGGCCTGAGGATAAGTTCCTCCCCTTGCTGTACCAACAGCAGTCAAGGCTCAGTTGCAACAGGAGGGGGTCCACAGTGCGGGAGGAGGGCACCCCTGGACCCTACAGGACACCCACTACACAAAGCCACTCCTCCACACCCGGGAGACGTAGCAGCTCCATCTCATACACAGACACAAACACAAGGAGGCTGCCGGAATGCGGAGACCAGAAAACGTCCCAAAGGAAAGAACAAACAAAACCCCAGAAAAACACTAAACAAAACGGAGACAAGCAATCTGCTCGGTGCAGAGTTCAAAACACTGGTTATAAGGGTGCTCGATGAATTCAGATCTGCAACGGCACGAAAAAGGACATGAAAACAATAAAATAAAAAATAAAAAAAAAGAATGAGTCACAAACGAAGGATACACTCACTGAAATGACGACTACTTTACAGGGAATCAAGAGTCAAGTAGGTGAAGCCAAGAATCAGATCAGCAATTTGGACTATAAGGAAGTAAAAAAAAAAAAAAAGAAAAGAAAAAAAAGAATCCAAAATAACGTGGAAAGAGCCTTTGGGACAACTTGAAGTGTATCAACATTTGCACTGGGGGTGCCAAAGGGAGAAGAGAGAGAGCAAGAAATGGAAAACCTGTTTGAGGAAATAAAGACAAAACTTGCCTAACTTGGTGAAGAAAATAGTACAAATCTGGGAAGTGCAGAGAGTCCCAAGCAGGATGAATCTAGAGAGACCCACACCAAACACATCATAATTAAAATGCAAAAGGGGAAAGACAAAGACTCTTAAAAGCAGCCAGAAAAAAAGCAGTTACCTACAAGGAAGTGTCCCTAAGACTATCAGCGGATTTTTCAAATAAACTTTGCAGGCCAGAAGGGATTGGCAAGAAATAGTCCGTGATGAAAAGCAAGGACCAACAACCAAGATTACTTTACCCAGCAAAGCTATCATTTATAATCTTGTCTTGGCTTCCCAGACAATAAAAAGCCAAAGGAGTTCATCACCACCAAAATAATATTTCATGAAAGGTTGTGAAAGGATCTTCACAAAGAAAAAAAAAAGATTAAAAATATGAACAATAAATGGCAATAAACATATCTGTCAATAATTGAATCTAAAAATTAAAGTAAACCAGCCAGAATAGAAACAGACTCCTATATAAAGAGAACATTTTTTATGATTGCCAAATGGGAGGGGTTTGAGGAGAATAATTGAAAAAGGTGAAAAATGTTTAAGAAATACAAATTGGTAGTTACATAATGATCACAGGGATGGGAAGTACAGCATAGGGAATATAATCAATCTAATAACTATGTATGATGTCAGATGGGTACGAGATTTATTGGGAAATTATGTCTCATCACTGGGGTATGTGCCTGAAACTAATATTATATTGTATGTCAACTATAATTAAAAAATTATAAATCACTTAAAATAAAAATTTTTAGAAAGGATCACCAATTATAATTAAGGACTGGCATTATTATTCTGAATTTTAGAACGAAATATGCAACAATGGTTTAATTTCTGATTTTTAAAAAACCTGAAAAGTTACAAGGCTCAACAACTGTTATTGGGTAATTATACAGAACTTGTGGTACCTTTGGTTTCGTCTTTATGCATTGTGGTGGTTATGAAACTGTTGGATTTGCTTTGTAATTGTAAATGTTAAAAAAACATGTATAACTCTAGGACCTGATTGTATGAACTGGGCCTGCCAAGTCTCTCTCATGCTGTCCACAGCAGACCAGTTCACACTGTGTGAAAATATTTGAAAAGCCTGGGATTTTCTCTGGACTGTTTAAATGAACACTCATAGTGGTGTTATCTTTATGATTTATTGTGAACTTTTATCACCGATTTACTTACTGTGAAAACGAAACGTGGGGATGGCATAACCTAACCATAGGAAGGTGACTACTGTGATTTGTCACTGCAACTGAGCAGATGTCTCTGTGTTTGGGTTCTCAAAACCGTTGCAGATGTGTTGGCTGTCACTAATGAGAAGTTAACTTTGGTCGTTCCTTTGAAATATAAAAACAAACATTGATTTCATTAACTTTGGGGAAAGCCTGTTTTTCTAGTTTATTCGTCATCCTTTCACAATGGTGATTTAGAGGTTAGTAAACATTTGTTTCCTTATTCAGTTAAGATGGTAGCCCAAGGATGGTGTGATCTCTGATTTTTTAAAAATCTGAGAGGAAATTTTTCTCGCTGGATCCCAATGATTTTATGAATAAAAGAGTGTTCTGTTTTTTAAGTACCGATAGAATTTTTTAAATGTGTATTGGTTCATGTACTCTACCGTTAGTAGAAGTGGTGTTTTTTCCTCCATTTTTAGCATCTATAGTTCCAATTCCACTCGGCAAATATTTATTGTCTTGCATATATAAATAATTCATTATGTTAAACTTATTTTTAGTTCAATATCCTGGAAATGAAGCCTTATTTTTTACTTAAACTTATTCTACAAAGCAAATACAGCAGTTATCCTAATTTTAATAAATACTAAAACCTTTGCAAAATGTTCTTGTGCGTCCTCAATGATTTTTGGCCCATACCCAGCAACTGTGCTGAATATAGAAAAATGAAATAACAGTTTGAAAGCAGACCTGATACATAGTATGTGTTGCTTGAGCTTCTAGCAAATGCTCAGTATTGTGGCTTTTTCTATACTCATTTCCTATGACAGTCGTACTGTTTTCTCTGTATAATTAAAAGTGGAGATGCGGAGTTTATTTACAGACCAGCTCCTTCACCGGTGTCCAGGAGGCCATACGAGGAAATATAGTACATGAGTAACAGCGGGGTGGGTTAAGCTGCTGTTTTCTCCAGCGTGTGACACAAGGTGACCAACCCAGGGAATTCACAGCTGAGCAGTGACACGAAGTACCGCTCGCTCGTTCTAAAAACAATTACCGTATTTTTCGGACCATAAGACGCTCCGGACCATAAGACGCACCAGTTTTTAGAGAAGGGAAATGAAGAAGAAAAGATTCTGAAACAAATAGTGTCCTAAAATATTTTATGTGCATTAAAACCCAACATCACAGTCATAAACACATGTAATCAACCCTGTAAAGTAAACAGCAGCATTTAGAACCATTTTAGAGCCGGGCAAGCACACAGAGACCACACAGAGCCGGGCAAGTAAAAAAACTTTTTTAAAGTATATGTGTAGGCTATATTTGGACCATAAGACGCAGGGACTTCCCCCCCCCCACTTCTGGGGGGAAAAAAGTGCGTCTTATGGTCCGAAAAATACGGTAGGCCCAGCGGGGCGTCCCTAATGGCTTCCTCGCTGAGCCTCGGGACCGGTGGGTCCCAAGCGCGCTCCCGAGCTTCCTCTTTGAGCTCTGAATGCCTGCGCTGCGTGTCCTGTGCTCTCAGTACAGGTGTTTTCCTGTCGTCTTCCTTCTTTTTGAAAAAATATATTTTATTGATTTTTTTTACAGAGAGGAAGGGAGAGGGACAGAGTTAGAAACATCCATGAGAGAGAAACATCAATCAGCTGTCAC